AAGTAACAAATTTTTGTGCCTTAAGCAAAGGTTGACTTTATCGTTTTCAGTATGGCAACTCACCTCTGCATGAAGTGGCTTCTAAGGGCTTTTCTCGCTCTCTGGAGGCACTATGTGTCTCTAAGGCACCTCCCAATCTTCAAAATAAGGTAGGACAGTATGACTTATTACGTGACTTTTCAGCCTAGCCTTAATAAATACGCTCTTTTTAATATACTGACTAAAGGTCTCGCAAATGTGCGATGTTTAATGTTGGCAAATAGCTGAGCTCAAGTTTGAACTACAAATTGATTCCGAGTGGTTTTTATCAAAGGAAAGTTTCATTTTTAACTTTGGAAAACCCGAATTTAGGTGGAACGCTTTTTTGAATACTGCGTTTGGCTGTTCCTTTCGGCAACCCTGGGGGCGACTGTGTCAATTGCGAATGTCATTCTTCGTGACCTTCACATTTACGCATAGGTCGATTTACAAACGTCAGGCAGCTCCACGAAATACCGATCGTCTGGAGGGAAGTCTTTGTGCAGATGCAAGGCCTTGAATTTTGCAAAGTGGATCAGCGGGAGAGGGGAAGGGAACCGGTTCAAAGCATAGGAATAAACAGAGATGGGACTGCTTTTTTAAATGCCCTCCAGTAATCGCTCTCGGCAGTCGGGAGTTAAGTCGGCTTTTTCACCTGGATTAATCGGAACTTCAATAAATATCAGTCTCACACCCAAAGGAATTGTTTAAATTGTTAAATCGTTAAAATCTGCAACCTACTTCTTTGTCCCACCTTTTTAAGGCGTTATATCGCCTTTTGTCTGTGGTCGAAGTCAATTTTTTTGGAGGCGCGCTGCAGACATGAATTTTTAATGGACAGTGAAAATGACTCCAGTTCAGGCGTGAATTTGGGCAGTTGCAAATTTTATTACGCAAAATATCCTGTCTTTGTCGGATAAATTCGATGGCGTTTTGGCTTGTCCGTATAATTTGTTGATGCACCTTGATAAGGTGTAGTGCCCGAGACTTTCTCCGAGGCCGCCACTACTCAGTCGAGACATGCATTTTCAATGTGCAATAGGGCTGGAAACAGCTGTCTAGGCCGCCAAGGGGGGGGGTGTGGCGGCGAACTCTTAAGTAGCATCACCAAAACCAAAATAGTAAAGCCCTGAAGATATGCTCTTCGAAAATGATTCAAACCTGCACAAAGTTGCGACGAAGTCACTCTTTCGCGACAAAGATAAATTAGGGGTAAAGTCCGTCTCACTTAATCCGAGAGGTCTCTTTCCTACTACATCTTACCAGAATGGATGAAGCAGTTTTATTTATGGAGGTAATGTGCTCCTCTTTGCCTTTGTAGTTGGGCTTAACTCCGCTTCACGTAGCTGCACAAAACGGCCACAAGCAGAGCATCCGCGTTTTGCTTTCCTCTGGAGCGGACCTCGGAGCTGTTGATAACGTAAGGAAACTGAGTTGCGAAGAGTATACACATATTTCGTTCCATAGTTTGCCTCCCTAGTGCTGATTTAGCAAATTAGAAAATTTGAGTTCATTGTTTTTACAAAGCAAGTGATTGTCGTGCAGACGTGGCTCCTATGCTGTGCGTCTGCGGGTACCGAAGAGGTTTCAGTCCCGACCGTCAGTAAGTGGAAGAGGCTGGTGAATGAAAAATAGAGCTGACTAAGTCCTAAATACTGCATTAGCAGTGATGCTTCTGCAATCTCACACAAAGAAATGCGATGAGACATAAACCACAGGGTGTGGCTTTTCCTGAAATTCCTTGGGAGAATATTTTGCCCTCTTGGATCATTAATGGTGGCAACCTTTACATTAAAATTGCTTGGCAAGTACTGCTCCATAAAGCTAGGTTTGTGAAGTGCCAAGTGTGCAACATCATGGCCTCTATGAAACCTTAAGCTTTTGCATGACCTCCCCTCTCCCACCCACTCACCCTCCTCCCATATTCTAGTTCATATCCTTTGGCTTATTTGAATGTACTTTGTCATTTTAGTCGTCGTAAGATTTTAGAAGTCTATTAACATGCGCCTGTTTGTTTCGGAGGTATTGAGTGTTGACAAATCACCTTAATCTTGGCAACCTACTCGTTCGTTTTGCCACGATCACATAATCTCTTCTTTACAGGTTTGCATTCAAGCTGTAAAACAAAATTTGATTCCTTCTCCACCGCAGTTCCTGATAACAAAGCAATCTTTAGAATTATAGGGGAAGTTGTTAGATGTTGAGAGGTTGATAAAATGCAATTTTGGTCAGAGTTCAGGTACTTGAGTACCTTAATGGGCACAATTTTGTGTCTTCTTCGGAGATAATTAGCCATTTCCCTACAAAATCTATAGGATGAGAGGTGTTTTTTGGCGCCAACCTTGCATTACCAAGTATTTTTCCCGGCTGAAGACATCTCAAGTAGTGGCATCTACCTTCATTAATAACTTTTCATCAAGACTTCCATTCACTGCTTTCCACCTTGGTTGCTGCCGTCGTTACAACCAGAGGTAGTTTGATTAATCGGATGAATACCGACATGGCTAGAACTGTTCCTGCTAAAACAGGTTTTACGATGCAAGGCCCCTTCTTACCGAGGATGAGGCGTTTCACAACGGACTTGCTAAATCCGTCTTACAAGACGTATGCTAGTTTTAGAGCAGGAACGACTGTTAGTGCCGTTCCAAAGGCGGATAAACGCCACCTAATCGTGTTTGGATCTGCGGTTGTAAGGTTTTCAATCGGGTTTGTGTTTTGAAAGTTATTTTAACGTCAAAATTTTATCTTCATCGAATGTAATTTCAACTAATCAACGTTTTATGCAACATGCACTTTACCGTGACGACACCTCCACTGCAATGGCATTTGACAACTTGACGTGACAACCAGATTACAACTGATATTCATCAGCATTCCATTAAAGTAAGCCGGAGAAATACATCATAACACTTGTGTTTTACCAAGCTGTGTTACTTAAATTCACCTGTTGCAAATGAGACGTGAAGGATAATCCGCGTTGGTGGGTCTTGCTTGCCACTATTACCAGTCTAGTAAACAAACGATCTTTTCATTATCTGCACGGTCACTTCACTTTCACTCATTACGACCTCGCTGAATACGCAAGGTTCAGTTTGAAAATGTCCAAATGCATACCCATGCTCATTCAGAATTGGAAGAACTTTGCATATGATATGAACACGGTTGTTTTATGATGCTGAAGGCTGAACAGTGCATTATTATGTTGGTTCATAGCTCCTTCTGTTTCTCAACTTCCATTTGCCTAACTCTCTTAATTAAATGTCCTTTTATAAGTAGTTACTTGGGGTTTAAGGTGATCCAGGTGATTCTTCGCTTTGACCTTCGAATAAAGAATTTGGTAGTTGTCAGGCCTTCTGTTTATGGTGCGTACCTTGAGCAAAACATTATTATGAGTTCCACCCACAGAAGTGAAATATTGTTTTGATGACATTGAATTGGTATCACGATGAGCTGTTTAGAGGAAGACCACTATGGTATTTCACTTAAGTTCGCTGGAGTTGGAAGCTAATGTCGTTACACACTGGTTTTACTATAATTTCTTTAGTCTGGAAACACATGTCTTCATACTGCGGTTCGTTACGGTCGCACCGGAGTAGTAAAGATCCTATTAACTGCCTCTGCAAATGTCATGGCAACTAATTGCAATCTGGAGACGCCTCTTCACATCGCAGCGTCATTGAAACGCACCAAAATTGCTAGATGTCTTCTCACAGCCATCACCAGCCGCGGATCTATCTCAGTCATGAATACGCTGACTCGTATGAGTGGTGGTGGCCTTCAAAAGCAACCATCGTCTCCACTCCCCTTGGCGTCACAACCATTGCCGCTGACAATACAGGCTGCGCTGTGGATGCGCAACGCACAAGGTGAAACGCCTCTTGAGGTGGCTAGACGACGGCTAAGGAATGGCAGTGGCAGTGATATGGTCTCACTCCTTCTCGAGCGGATGAACGTGACGGACTGCTGCTCGCAATATGAGAACGGCACTACCAAATCATTACCTCGCCCTTCCACCAGTAGTGGCGATGGTGGTGAGGCCACGGGAAACGATCATGACGTGCTGTTGGCTATGCCATGCGTGTCCTCTGATCTTATCTACTCCCCAGTGCAGAAGAAGACGGCGTTCAAATTTGCATTTAAGGTGTCTGATTGTCTGACTGTATACTAGATCCTAGGAGTTGTTCGTAATTGTTAATAATTTTGGGTTTAGTATCATGTTGGTATATTCCCCGATTGGGATTAGTACTGTTTCATTCCAAGACAGCGCAATTCTACGAATTTAAATGTAACTGCATTTACTGCACTACTCTACGTTTGTGGGTGAGTCTGAGCCACACAGCCGCATCACAGATCACTCAACAATGCCGATGCGATTATGCATTGCCTTAAAGCATCTTTTCAACGGTTTGAGAAAATGATTGTGTTTACCTTTTTCACCTTATGGGGGATTTTAGGAGCACATTTTTTATTAATGTAACTTCTGTTTTCATTTGCGAACCCCCTAGAACTTCCTCACTCACCTCAAAGTACTAATACAGTATTGTTGGGTAGGGTGTGTCCAAATTTTCGTTTTCTAGGTGTTTTGAATAGGCATCGCGTTGAACAAAGTGCTATTGCTATAGTGATGGGAGTGTTGACAAGTCTAAGGAAGTAGGCCGCTATCAATGCCTCTAATGCCTTAACATCGAGTGCGGCTATGTTTCAATGGTTTTGGGGAAGTTAGAAAAGAAATGAGCAAATGCTTTATGCAATCACTAAGACGTTCAAATGACTTTTCAAAAGTTCGACTATATCGGTGCAATTCCAAAATCAGTCAGTCAGTAGTGCTGCCTTGTTAATTTGTTGAAAGCAATCGTTATCGTAGGCAATGCTGTCGACCTGGCCTTGGGATGATTGAAGTCAGAACGGTCTCAAGGAGCACTCAAATGGTTCCACTTTAACCGCCTCGATTTACAAAGGGGTTCTAAAGGAGCCGCCGGTTCAATAAAAAAATGCGAAAAAGTTTTATCTTTGCTATAGCCTCAATATTGCTTAAATGAAATCTGAGGATTTGAAATTTCTCAGTTAGTTTGTGGCGATTATGTACTGTGTGTGCAGATGATGTACAAAGCGGTGGAAAAAGGTTTTGGCAATAGTCTATGATGCTTAACTCGAAACTGCGTATGCGTTTTAAATTTCTGCGATATTTTACTTTAAAGTCAATCAATCTCAAAGGGCTTTTGAACGCTGAAGTTTGTAACGTCGTAAACTAGTGAATAATTTGTTTTTAAAACTGAATCGCGACTCATTTCCTCATAGACAAATTCATTAGGGCTTCAGGCTTACAAATGAAATGTTAAGCAGTAAAGCTGGATTGTACTCTATCAACTACCAATACGCAGATATTATATACGGTGAAATTTTTTTGTTGAAAGATAAAAACTTCAGGCGACTTCTAGGACCCTTTTATTTCTTGACAAATTCATCATCTCTATCCACAAGTCTTCTCTAACAACACCAACTATTTGCAAAATACTCCTTCACAAAACAGCTTATACCATTAGCACCTCATCCACCATTCAGCCGTTCTGGATCTGAAAACTAGGAGTACTAGGGAGTAAAGTGGTAATCTTGGCAACTGATTAAATCAATTCCTCAAGGACATACTCTTTTTTTGAAGTGATTTCCCATAACATACAAGGTCCAAGTAATAAGTTTTGCTTTGGGCGTATGTTGGGGCTGTTGAAGCGCAGGACTGTAAGTAACTTCTAACGATGCATGGGCTGCAAACTTGGCTGGCTTGCGGAGGGATTTGTTACCCCTCCTGCAAAGCTACTTGACTGTAATGGACAGGTGAAAGCCGTGAGTGAGCTGGATGTTTATTCATCCATCAATCCTTGTTGGAGGGGAGTCTTCGAGCACTTTTTTTACCCCTACCCGGACGTTCGTCTTGGTTACTGAAAAGCTAAAATAGAGTAGCGCAGCATTCTTCCATGATGATGTCGTAGATGGCAGCTAAGCTTATGCCGACCAAGAAGGGATTCTCCCGACGTGCTACGTGGGATTTAGAGGGGTAGGAGCCGAGGTTAACATTGGTTTTCTTGAGCCAGCGCAAAAGTAACGGCTCATTCGACGCTGGTGCATTTAATGTCAGTTGCATTCTACTTTTACATTCCAAAACATCTGGTCAGTGGTATATGGGCTTGTTTGTTGCAAAATTTCTAGCTAATCATAAACTTACTACGTTTTATAGAGCGATTACAACCAGGTTAAGTTATCGAGTCTGGAAGATACGTTATATCGGATTTTGTGGCTATTTAGTGAAAAATAGCTCATAGTAAACTACTGACACAATATTTCTTTATTAGGGGCGCAGGAAACAGGCTTTCGTCAGTGGTGTTGCTGCTTTATTTCAGGCCTCAGCTACTAACAGGTTACACCGTCCAAAAATCAACGCAGCCGACAAAGCGTCGGCATCCTGTATTAACGAGGCTACAGTGGAGAGTCCCGCTGATCTTTCTAGCGGCCTCAAAGTGAAACTCCGATCTGTACGACGTTCCTTCTTTGGGGGGCTTTTCAAAAGCTCACATGTAAGCATTTATTCCACACATAAATCGTTCAGGTTGCTGCGATTTATTTTAGCTTTTTCAAGGGATCAGTTGATTACATCCACTGAAAACAGAAACTTTTAACTGCATACCGGCCAAACAACGCCTACTTCTATGAGTTAGGTCTTAGTTCTTCTCTAAGTGAGATGTGCTTTTCGGTTGTGCTACAGATTCTAGAAGGAGATTACCTTGGACCATGGGGAAGAAGCCGTCTTTTTTACTCCCTCAAATGGCGTGGAATTAAATGCGTCAAATTCAATCAAGCCGCCTCCCTCGATCCATGATTTACGTTTATAAATGGTTAAGATTTGTTCTGACTTGTGCCAGTGATGTGAAAAAATGTTATCAAGCGTCATGTATACTCACCTCTGTGATTTTCAATGTCATCGGCTAAATTTTAAACAAGTGCAACTTGGTAGTAGGTACTGTCAAATGTCTATCATTCCTACTGTTTGAAAGTCTCTCGAAAGGGCAACATTATTTAATCATTTCTCGTCTTTTCTTTTGTTAAAGACCAAAACCATCCTACCTGCTCTGGCAGGCGAGATGAGAAAGTCGGAGAGTAGTCAGCTGCCCTCACCGAGAGACTCGAAGTGCGATGGAAATACCGAAGCATCCCTCCTGGAAATGCCCACTTCTATATCTGTTTCAGAAGCACTTAATGAGTCACGTTCTTCATCATTCGTGGGAAGAAGCATTTTGCCTGAGGTAAGAACACATTAGCTTGCATTTTAATAACACGGCCCATCTCACAATGGTGATATTTTTAAGAACCACTATATGGTAGCCTTTCTCCCAACTCACAAGGTGCTAATTTAAATGGTGTTATTGTGTACGGCGTTAAGCGCATATTCGGTCATCTTACTAACAAGTAACATCATGGAAAAGTATCAGTCGACACGAATTTCAATGGAAAAACCTCTACATAATAAACTCTGAAAGTTTAATTTGTGTAAAGCAACACCGAAAAGACAACTGAGTGGCACTACTTGATATGCAACGGGGATCTAATGCTGAGTAATTTAGATGCTTTGGTTTACGATATGTTATTGTAAGGCGAAATGTACGTGCCCCTCCAAATTAACTCCGGAGGCGCTAATAAGGCCTACAGACAGAACTGTGCAGTCAGGTGAATGGGATGTGTACTTATCAAGCAGCAATGCACTAAAGTCTCACCGATGTATATAATTGAGAGCTGCTGCTTTCATTCATCCATAATTGCATCAGATAAGCTCGTCAGCAGATGATCCACTGCAGAACAGCCTTCTCCTGGGTCGCTTTCAGCAGCTACCTCTTCCACAAAACAGCAAAAGCACTTCAGCGGGCGTGAGCAGCACTCACTTGCCTGAGGATGTTACGGCAACCAACAACTCCGATGATCGCGATTGTACCTCTTCCCACCTGGCACTTCAGTTCCTTCCTAATCTTACTTCCTGTGCCTCACTGTCGAATTGCGTCAGCGGAAGTAGTGGAGGAGGTGGCGGTATTGATATTTGTGGAGCCAACGAATGCCCGCGAACACGATTTGGTGTACGCTTCGACCTTAACGCTGACGGTGATGCACATGCCGTTCCAGCCTCTGTTGTGCATGGACGACAACTATCGATGCAGTTATATCGAGATTTGGCTGGCAACCTAAAGAAGGTACAATGTTAACTTCGACTTCTGAAACAGCAGTATCATGTAAGAACTGATACTGCTGACTTTAAGGAAGGAAATGTTATTTAAACTGCTTGCTATTAACGGTGGAGGAATAGACCTTCGCTACCATAGTGTTTTGCCACACTAAGTGTCTACTTTAGAATTGTTGTCTGCGAAGTGCTGAGACCAACTATAGCATAGGAGACGCGAATAGCACCTTGGTTGCTAAGTTTTTGAATGCGACTCAATCACCATCCACATGGTTTATTTTCCTACTATAGCGATTCAAATGTCTTGTAAATATTTCATATTTCCAATCTGTTTTGCTGTTCTTAATCATTTGGAACAAAATACTGAGCAACTATGAAGTGACAAAGGGCGAGGACCGTACTAATGTGATGGTAGGTCCAGCTGAGGCAATCGAAATGTCACGAAGATCCAACACAGGTAGCAAATACGCTGGGGTCTTGTGAAGTTGCGTGCAGTCCTGGTAGAGTTTACTTGTGAGGACCTGAACTATGGTAACCAAAGTTGAGAATTTTACCCTCTTGTAATGGTCTTCTTTTTTAAATCCTCTCGCACATTCTCCCTATTTTGAATTCATGCCTCACGAAAGTACCATTTGGTTTAGTTGGACCGGTGAGATCGGATTGCTGATGTGAAAGGAGCATGCCTTCATTACAAATTGGGGAGCAGTTCCTTGAGTGTAGAGTCCCCTCGTAGAGTGAAGGTAGGGCATGTAATAGTGGAACCCTCATCTCATAAATAGCGTCCTTTAATTTATGGTACCCTTACTCATACGTGGATTCCACTTTGGGAAAGTAAAGAGAGGTATAAGAATGCACTTAAAATGGATTTATAACAAACAAAAATAAGCTTCAAGGACCCCAACCATATGTTTCATTTCTTTCAGATGCGTAATAAAGATTCATTGTGCATTTTGGATGCTCTGATGACTTACTGAACCAGTCAGTTACTAGTGCTGAGAATGGCCTTTTTTGAATGTTTGATAGGAAGGTCAGTGTACCACTAAATAGTCTTACGCTTTCAAACGACCACGACTTATTTTCCTACGTGTGGGTGTAACGGGCCGCGGACAGAATCGTTCACTGAAATCCATACAGTTGTTTCTGAGATCTACCTGCTGCTGGTAAACTACAGCAGTTCGAAGAAGGAAGCATTCTTACTGCCACAAAGCGGGGCACTGGGGCCGATGGACTGATAGAAGGACGAACCGATATAGCACTTCGTTCTCATTCGCACTAATAATATGCCCCATGCCTCTTGATAAGGGTATCAAAGTAGACGCCAGGGCAATAGAATCAGGGTGGATAGATGTACGGGTAACGGAGGATTGTAAGTGAAGAATGCTTTGTAAACTGCTTATTTTGATTAGAAGGGATCATGAATGGAGCCTGTTTGGTAAGCTTTGTTTATAAGGGAATGTCTTCAATGAATCACCCCATTAACAATTAAGCCGCTGATTCTCTCCTACCATACGGTTGGTGTTGCACAATTTTTACTTATGCTCCCCATCCCGCCTAAGTTTGTACTGCCCTTCCAAGGTAACGCCATCGAGTTCAACAATGAGGCTAGTTAGGATAATTCCGTAGACTAATTAAATGCTGCCATGAGGAACGACCATATCCTCTTGTCAAGTGTTTAGCTGTCATACGAACATGGGACGATTTCGAGTTGAACCTTCATTTGCTTTGTTGAGTTTGAGAATGTAGCAGCAAGCTACACCGAAGTAGTCTTGAAACCTTTTTAAGAACAGTGCAAAATGCCGGATTCTATGAGGAAGTTATGATACAATTTAGATGAGTTGCATACAACTTCCTGCCTTGAATGTCGAGATGATTCAGTCAGTATGTGGAGGTGAGACCCTTTTTCTAGGCTTCTCTCTAGCACATTTTAAATCCGCTTGTCATTAGAACTGCTTTATCTGCGCTGCTTTATTGTTCTCCTGTCAGACGCAGCAGGCAAAATATATGTGGGTTGAGCCCTTCGGCTGGAGATTTCCATCCCAAAGTATCTCGCAAATTTTCTCGTTCTGGCATATGTTTTTTGTGACTAGGCACTTTCCGCTTCATGAATCACACGCCAAATTCTCGTCTGTCTTGACTTTTCGAACTTTTATTACACCATGAAGCATGCACTGGCAAAATATCCCCTCCGCCGTTGAAAGTGCTCTTTTGGTCCGCTAGAAGAAACTCGTAGGGGAAGAGTTTGCTCGTGAACGAAAATTGCAGAAATTCAGCATTATTTCCTCCTATTAACATCGGCGAGCGTAACTAGTCCACTTTCAAGTATTTTGGTTAACGTTAAATCCGCATGTTCATTTGCCATCTTTTGTGAGAAACGCATAGCCTAGAATTAGTCGTATTTTGACCATGCAGTCCATAGTATCTCACTCTCAATGGTACGATAAATGTGTAACTCGCTTAAAGAGCGACAAATTTCCCTGGCTGGAAGGTTAATGAGTGCTACTGTTATAGCAGTATCTTCGTCGTTGGGGTAAGTTGGCACCCTGAATTTTTTGCAATGAACTCAACTTTTCACTTGGCTCAGTTTAGCTGTTTGTTTAATCTATTGGTGTATAAATGAACTTCAGATTGCTTTGCTTTGCTCTCAAAACGCATGTCTGATATCAACTTAAAGTAATATTTGACTTCCACTTGTATTGAATATTCCCATAGGATTCCGATTTAAAAGTTGCAATTGTTTTATAGATGATTGTCAGCGGATTTTGGTTTTGGCAATTTTTTGAGACATGAAGCGCCAAATGCATTTCCGAAGAGGAGTCCAGCGGAGCTAAAAGAACATTAATTTAGGTGACACGAGTAAAAAGTCATTTACTTATAGTCGAAACGGAAGATCGGAAGTTTTTAAAAGTTGCAAACTGTACTTCATTGCTCAGTAGTAACAGGCTTTGTGACATGTGCCCTCTCGATGTTTTAGGGTCCTGCAGTTTCCTCTCCTGGATGCAATTGCATTCAACGCCAAGCGGATTACTTTGCTGGCAAAGTTGCGAATTTCGCTCCCTGTGCATCTCACAGTTATCTTGAAGTTCCTGCTTCCTCAATGGATCAGCTATCGTTCTGCTTAGTTAGCTTATTTTTAATTTTTGCCATGGAACTAAATTTCATGCCCCTAGCACAGGTCCCTACTTCCAGAAGAAGCTAGCTGCTAACAGAACTCCTGATCAAGCCGACCCATGAATATGTTAAGTTGGTTTAAACTTATCCTACTTTGCATTGACAAATATCAACCATTGTGAAGGTATTCTACATTTCGTATGAGCTGGTGCGCTACACCCTTTCAAGATTTTCTTATGTATTCGTAAAATGTATGAATCAACTCTATGGGACTGTAACCTCCACATCTGCTTGGCATTAGGTTTGCTAAACTAACCAAGGAAAGACTGCGCCATTATTGGGCAACAAAAGAAATAACTGAATTTCATTTGATTCTTACTAGCATCCGCCTACAACGAGGAAATCGCGTCATGGTCGCTTTAGTACCGCTACCACCGCTGCCACTACCTTCAACGGGAAACAGCAAATAAATTCTCGTTCGGACGAGTCCCTTTCCATTAGCGGACGTTTGAATAAAGAAACTCCGATCGGCTCTGCACCTCCTCTGAAACCTGCCGATACCCTTCCGGATACGGGTGTGCGGAAATCTAATGGCAGGCCAGTCTCCGCGATCTACGAGGTAGTGCCAAATCCCACAAATGCTATTTCCTATCCTCTATTTCCCAATACGCACTACTGATAGCTTCCCCTCTAGACTCACTTACCTCTGTTGGAGAAAGAAGCAAATAATCTCAATATGTTACTATTTTGCATTTTAGGAAATCACAGGATGGCCTCAAATTGGAAAGCAGGTTCAACCAGCTTTAACTAATGGAGGAGTGTGCCGAGAGTCAGCTTTTCAACAAAATCTGTCAAAGTTAGTCTGACGTATGAATTTAGCAAGCAACAGTGACCAGAATTATAATATACATTACATAATTTTGTAGCACCAGGAGGCTGCACCGCAGGAATTAAAATCGCGATAACTGCACATCTGATTAGTGGAGTCCACTCTTTTGTAGATCCCTATTTGATTCTCAGACTGTAATGTGGTGGTGTCTTGGTTTGTAGTGGGCTGAAGGAATGTGCGACCAGATTGGATGGACGAGCTAGGGTCGTTTCATTTATAAGCCTACTTTTATCAGACTGTTCCATAATCTTAGTTGATGATTTCACGTTTTGCGTACGCGGTATGAAGCTGACCTGTGTTGGGTGTGACCCACGAGCAGAAAAAGACGGTTTCAGTTTACCGCCAATGTTGGCGCTTGCTGTTATCCTGCCCACGACGGTAGTTCAGCGCACTTCCGTGGTCGCCAGGAGGGAACAAATTCACGCGACTTGTGAAAGGAAAGAAAACTCAAAGTAGCTCACACTAGCCTTTCAGCATCAACAATGGATCGCATCATTCACTTCTCCACCACTTGTTCCTAATGGGAGATGTTTATTTGTGGGGGTCTATAAGTTGATGTTGATGCAGTCATGCTGTGTAATTCAAGTGGAAGACAAAGTTGCTTGAAGGTGGCGTAAGTTGCACCGATCTGTATCTAAATCCCTCGCCACCAAACAGCGGCCTCGGTTTTAATTACGGGCGTTGAAGGCTTTGACATGCTCCTGGGACATTGCCTTCTTAGGGTTTCGACCGCAGTTTCTTATGATCGGGAAGGATTCGTGGGTTACCCAACTCCATTATAGAGCAACATTTCTTGGGTGATATTTTTTTTAAATGAATAGCTAGTAACGTTTGACAGCATTTTCATGTCTGTCATTTCGTTTACCTATCCAAGGGAATGGACCCACCCTTTCCCCGAACTAAAATAGTAAAGCCTGGGGAAATATTGAAGGCTTCTGCGTGTAAGGCACATGTACTACCTTTTGAAAAATGTTATGCACTCATCTTAAAACTTGTTTGACCTACATCGACCATTCCCAACAAAAACCTCGTCGATTCAGTTAGACGTGTGACTGTGGTGTTGATCTTACCAACGGCAGTGGAAGTGATTGCATAGCGTAAAATAAAATCCTCTTTAACGTCTTTGAACTGTGTGATTGATTTGACAGGCTTAAATATGCACACATTTGAGTTGTTGCATTCATAGCCGGCAAATGCAAACCTGATAAATGCTGCTTGATGTAAATTCATCAAAATAATGTAATTCCGTTAGTTGTTCCATTCGTATGCATAGCCTTGTTAGACGAACGTTCCGTTGCCGCTTCGTACGTCTGTTTCTGCTTTTCTCAAAATAGATCGAAAAGTTACAGTGGACGAATGGCCTCCGCAGTGGATGCTACGGCATTGCAGACCACCAATGGAGGCCTAATTAGCACGAAAGTGACGCGCCATGTGACTAAAACGACTCCACTTTATGTGTCCTGCCGCAATGTTGGTGGGAAAATGGGGCTCTCTGTTGGACAACTTTCGTCAGCCCTTCCTACGCTCATGCAAACAAACGGAACCCAGTGACTTCGAGACTAGCAGCATTTTGTCAACTAGTTAAACGTAAATGCATTTCTCATTTTTAAACCACTCGAGGGCACCTGCCTCAAGCAAATAGTCATCTTCGTTTAAATTGGTTATCTCAATAAAGAATTACCCAGAATTTGGCGCTCCTTAGTACATATTTACTACAGGCATGCAATAACCTAGGTAACCTTTTCAATTGATGGTGACTGTAGATTTTAAAGCAAAAATAGCAACCTATGTCCGGAATATCAGTGATTGTCGATGCAGAACTCTCCCTAATGTGTACATACCACACTAAAAGTACGAAAGTAGTGAGTCGTGCAACACTCAAGAGACAGTAATTACGGCTTCGAGATTAGATTCTTTACTTAAGTGAATAAGCTCAAGAAAGTAATGAGAGAACCGTGGCCGACACATTGTTGAGTTCTGGGTAAAAATTACAGTAAGTTCTCTTGGTTACTATTGTTCAATAATAGGATCTGAATGATTGCTGTAGCGTTTCGAGACTTCCTAGCCGGTATAAGAAGTCAGTAAGTGCAGCTGGATACATGTATTCCGAAGACGACAGGGCAAATGAACCTGAGCATGACCCGAAGGCCAGCTCAGACAAATCCTAAAGTGACCGTCGAACCTCAGGTAGTCACACAAACAAAGCATTACAGTTGTCTTAGATAATTTATAGGCCCGAGTAGTTATTCAAGCAGATCTGGCATCGCTTGAGAGAGAGGGCCAGGATTGGTTTGTTCGGACAACCAGATCACGTGGCCAAGAGCGAGGCGAGTACGGGCAGTCGAACAAACGAAGAACCACACCAACTTTACCTCACTTCCAATTAGATTAACGAATAATAGGATACCGCTGAAGTGAGAAAGTTGACAAGAACGGCTACTGATCCCTGTCCCAGCCCGTCTTTATTGGTTTTATGGTCTGATGACCAGCCGCGTAGTTATGTGGTGCTCCCTGCATTCCTCGCTTTTCAATTGTAGTCCTCATCCGGGATAACGTTGCAGGTAAGATGGTATCGCCACAAGGAATCATATATCTTCTCAATTACATAAATACTATGTCTAGTGTAGCTGTTTCATATGTGGTTTCCCAACAATCCCTACTACATCATGAGAGCTAATGCAGGGAATTATTCGAAGGAGGACAAAAACGGCGATCATTGAAGGCCAATGCTAAAACATGCTTTGCTTATTTGTTGAAAGCTTGTTTTAACGATGAAGACAATTAAACTGCTGACCGAAGGACTAGTGTTGCCTTCTTTCGTCGACAGAACAATTCCGATGCTTTGCGTGAAAGTGGTCCTATACTTCCACGGGATTGTAATAATCTGAATTTTAGCACGCGTGACCTCAATTTGTTATCAAGCGCCGATTGCAATTTTGGGTAAAAATGCGAATTTTGTCTCCTTTTCGGTTATTTGCAAAGGTGACTGGTACATCTATCACACTGCCACGCATGCTTTCTCCATTAAATTCTATGTCTCAAACTAATGAAATTCCTTAAAGGAAATTCCTGTTTTTTCATCAAACAAGTGCTTTATTTTAGTCCTGATTCATGCTTGTGATTTTAGTGGGTGTTTCAAATTTTTGTTCGGCCAAAGGTTGGTGAATGTCTCTCCCTCTGTGCTGAGCAGTCATCATAATTCTAGAGTGAATGAATGCTCATTGTACTGTCGTTGTTCTCAGAGTAGAGGTTTCCATAACATATTGAACCTCATGTTTTCTCAACTCTGTAATCGGATCTCCAAAAGTTTTCATCGTATGTGCGTTTAATTAGTACTAGCAGAAGGGAATGTCGCTCTTTTAAAACGACGCTGCTATTATATGTTGTGGTTTCTTCTATCGTCTGATTCGTGGTTCTTTTGTAGGTTTTGTACCGTGCGGGGACTACATCTTCCCTGACTAAACCTGTCGGTTGTTACAGCAGGGGAAAATGGGCAACATTATCCGACTACTCACGAGTCGCTTTGAGGAGATAAAGGATGATGTAGATATCTTTGTTGACTTTGAAAGTATGTTACGAGTGCATTATTGTGCTTATTTGAAATACTAATAACAATTCTTCGGGCAGATTGTCAGCCATCCGATGAGGAATACGATCTTTGGATAGAAATAAACACGAAATTGGCGCACGCAGATGATATCTTAACGATTGTGCGGAACTATCCCGGGGCTGCTGCTCAAATTAGGAATGCTATTGAACACTACACGGATGACGCTGCTCAGGAGGCAGCATGGGAAGCCTTGATACCACTAGTTCACCAGCTGCGAATCTGCTACGACTTTGGTGTTTATTTAGGTAGTCTTTTTGGCCTTAAAACCAGCAGAATTCCTGCTGGCCGTGTTTATCTGCTTCAGCGAGGTAGTTTGAATTTTCCAAGTATATCAACATTGTTTTCCAAAGGTAGAGTTGAATTTGAGCTTGCATTGGCAAGATGTGGATTGAAAATTTCGTGCTAGTTCTCCACTTGTAAGATTTATTAACCAGAAGTAGGGATCAAGTAGTTGGACAGGCGCTCTTCGAAATCACGTACCTTCGTTGAACATATTGATAAGTGAATGAATGCCGTCCGTGAAAGGCATTAATACCAAGTGACCTATTTGGTTAGGCCAATTTTAGTCTTTTAGTCGAGTAACCGCTATCCTCTTTGCCTTTCTACTCCTTACAGCGCAAACTGTCCCTCGACTCCTGCATGCACTCTGTTCCGACGAACTTACCGTCTGGGAACATCTCGAATCTCAACAGGCTCTCTTCAAACAGTTTGCCGAAATTCTCGATTTCATTATGCAATTTGACAACCTCAAGGTGTCGTCTCCTTTGAAATTTTTTACTTGCACAAATCATTTCTGGCGTTTCTATTGCTCTTTGGTGGTGGAATTTTCCTGTCGTGGTTATTTATGGCAATTACTTTGCTCATCTACACTTTATGCCTTCTGAAGGCATAGCTTCAAAACCTTAACTGCTGTGCTTATTTCCATCGGTTGAGCTGAAATCTCACGTACTTTTGCTGTAGTTGAGTTTATCCTGTTTTCATATCCATATTGTGTGCCATAGATGGCGATATCAACGTTGAGATTGCGTTTTAAATCTTCGTTTTTCATCCTTTTCCTGATTATGAAGCTGGCGTACAATAAAGTAGAAAAAGCATGGATTTTCTTGTTTGCCCATGTCATATCATTTCGAAATTTTCGTCAGTTGTGGTGCATCTCCAATTGACGTTGGAATGTGCAGTTTGTCATGCCTCGAGCTTATTATTATAACCTTGGTTGCGTAAACGTTATTGTGCCTCGGAATCCATGCTTTGAAATGTTATTCTTATCGTTTGGTGTGACGAGCATTGCTCACGGCATTTTGCAAGAAGCTCACATGATGACTTTTGTCCATTGGCTTTCTCAGGAAAGGTCCTCACTGTGGACATTTCTTCTTTGAATCGATATAGTTTTAGCCTTTCCATCCGCCGTTGCTTGTCCTCCTAGCTTGCCAAGGTATGAGTCAGTGTGATACATTAAGGAAAGGTGGAATAGAAGGGTTTACCTGTGTTGCGCATTTGTTCTCGCGCATCTGACTCATTTGCTTTGCTTCTCCTGATAAAACAATGTTTGATTTAGTAGTTTTGGATTTTTATGCCCCATCGTTACGCCGATTCAATGGATAAAATTCGTTATTCGGCCATAATGATTTTCTATTTTCGGTTGCGTCCTCTAAGAACTGCTGAATTAACGTTCGAAGTCGTTTTGGGGTTCGGGTCTGCTGTTTGTGAGATTTTTTAATTTAATTTTTCTAGGCGAGTCAATGTTAGTTATTAACAGTTTGTCTTTACTTAACATCTTTGCCTTTCTTATGTTAGAAACAACTGTGCTGACTTGTTTTTAAGTTGAATACCTAGTAAAAGTCACGTGGACTTGTTTCTTTTTTTTTTAATAAGCCATAGAGAATGCAGTGTTTAGATTCCATAACCATACTCTAAGTTCTCCATTGATTGAATAACAAATAATGCTGATACATGTCAGTGTGGGAGATTGATTCTCAGTTCCCAGCCTCAATTGTGGCTATTTTCGTGTAGGTTTCAAGGGCTGAGGTAACGACCACCGTTGACAAACTCCCTTCATGCTTGAATAGACTACTACTTTTCCAGACAAAGATTGGATCTCATTTCTTTATTGGTATTCTCACGATTAATCGTTGTGTCGATTGTTATTGTTCACCTAGTTATAAACGGTGTTCTCTGGCAGCTGGTACGATTCATCCGCACATTTTGCCATTAGCGGTTCTTATTAATCTGTTTCACATCGTTGCGGACTCGTAAATGTGTGGGTCTTGGGAATAAGGCTGATAACGGCATTAATGCTAAAATCCCAAAACACCATTGGCTTGCCTTCATCGCCAATTTAATCTTTTCATTCACAACCGTGAATTTGATCATTTCCTGCCCTCTGATTTAACAGAATACAGTCAGGATCGTGCCTTGTCGGTCGCAAGTCCGAGGTTCACACCTTCAAAACATTGCATCTATTTCTCTTTAATTTCTTATTTAGCGCATCTCCTTGTTGGTCCACTCTTTTTTTATTGATTTCTAGCACTGTCTTTTTTGCTGTTTTGCGGTGCCAGGTGCCTTCATGTAGGCTAACAGTACTTATTACGGACTATAGTCTAGCAACTTTAATGCTTATTGCCAGTCACATGACGTTACTATCAGAATTTTTCTGACCTCACCTATAGCACTTACTTGACACACTTACTTAAAAGAAAACGAACTTGATTGCAGGAGGAAAACAAACCTAACCCACTTAGTGTTGTTTGAGGGCAGCTGCACTTCTTGGCCGTAATATTCATTTTTCTTGCGAGCTTGGTGATGAATGCGTTAGTTGTATTTATGCCTGGGTACGAATTCCAGCTTAGTGTATCGCATTTTCGAGAATCATAGGATTCTCCCTCAGGACTTTTTACTGCTGAATCTGTCGATTGCTCTTTGCTTAAATTGTCGTTATCCTTTATTTCACTATTGCATTTCTTCATGATCAGTTTTGGGTCAGGTGGCGAATTTGTCATCGACCTGAAAAGTATCAATTAACAAGCCAGTTGTTAGGATGGTTTAACCGACAGAGGTAAGGTTTCACCTGGAAACAATAGTTGAGATGTGGATTTTCTGGGCAGTGGAAGTTGGTAGAGGATGAGATTCGTGTTTGGTGTTGCATCATTGATGGATGCGTGTGCGCAGGTGACTTGACTCCCCTGCTTGATCGTCGCATTTTTGATAAGAGTCACAAAGATCACATATTTACTCCCATTTTGGCTGCAGTGAATTGTAGCCTGGACGCTGTCTTGCGCCGTGATCGTTTCATGCGTAACAGGCTGATCGGCTTCTTGCCATAGCGATTGATAGCCTTGTGTTGGCGCCATTTTATACCACAAACCCTCGAGTCATCCTGTTGTAGATGTGAATGTTCTTGTGTCAGATTTATGTTTATACTTCTTATTCAAATCTGTCAAATAAGTTTTGCATAGGTGGTTTCGTGGCACTTCAGCATCGATGACTTCGTACTTTCACTTGTGTCATGATGGCTGCACCTCTTCTTTCGACTACGTTTCACCACCCTTACCATGCCAAAACGCATTTATGTAGATCTCTTCAATTTCCTCCTTTGTACTGATAGGTGCTCGTTTTTATTATTCTTTTGACTAGAGTAATTGGAACGCCTGAACCTACTGCTGGCTGCAGACTTGGTGATTTGGTTGATTTTCTTGACTGTTTTATGCTACCATTCGTTTATCTTACTGCATTGACCCTTGGCTCTTTTGCCAAAAATTTCGCTCTTTACTCATATTGGCGCAACCTTTTCTACTGTAATTTCACCTTGACCGTTAATGAAAATGCATAAGGTGCCTTCTTGTGCAATACCGCCTTTATCCATGGAGCTGAAAATTAAAGTCGGAGTTTGGCTCCCACTTTTGAAAATCTTCCCTAACTTTAATTTAGTTGGATTCACGATTCACGTTCATTTTGATTGTGCTTTTGTGTAAGTGTCATAGACGGGGAGAACTATTGGAATAGTAGCGCCGAGATTACACTTAGAGGTTTTAACTCATTGACCTCTTGGTATGGCTACTCTCATATATCCCGAGATGATACTCTTCCAATTTTTTAAATCCTAGATTTAAGTCACTTGTAGACACATTTGGGAGACAGAGAAACGGTTTCACTCAGATAAACATATATAAGAAGCTAAATTATCCGCCAAAGCGTTTGCTTGACTGGAAATGAACTTGCGATAATTATTTCGTTATCTCTCTAGATGACTAAACCTTCCATCCAAAACGACTTCAGCTTTTATCGTCGGCTCCGTCAACGAAGAAGACCTGTGGTCGATTTTACGCAACAGGTATTTATTACCTCCTTTGGTTTTTAGTACTGTATGGATGGCGAAATCTGCCCTTCCCTTATTACAATTGTGGTAGCAGCTATTGCAATGTACCCTCAAGAAGGTTGCTTCGCAGAATTCATTTGTTATTTTTTGTTTTCATGCTTAGGTCGTAACTCCATGTGACGTGGGCGATGCAGAGTCCTTGCGACAGGAAATTGAGCAAATTAGTGATGAGTGCTGCAGTAAGATGTCCCTCTTCTACGCGGAAGCCACCCCTATGCTCAAACTCATCAGTCGATATGCTACGCAATGTCACATGGTAGTGAGTACCCGCATGAAAGACTCATTTTTCATTGATCTGCGATCTACTTAATTTTGATACTATTTTAACTTGTTTTGCGCTTTTTCTCGCAAATGATAAACATGTAATTGTCAACATTGTTTCAGTTTAGACTGTGTAAAATGCGGCATTTGTTCGGATCTTTTATGTGGGTTCTACAGCTTCCTTGCACTAAGATATTATTTTCTTTAATAAGTAACATTTTAAGCAACTGAATAGTATTTTTTTGAGTTTGTGTGGCGGCTGTTACTGAGTCTAACTATGGAGTAGAGTAGGTCATTGGCGCCGTTGAATCCGTGGAATTTTTGGCAGGCAAATACGACTTTATTATGAGAAAAATAAACCTAGATTCTGCAGAACTGTGCAGCCCGTTAGTCTACTTATTTGATGGTTTCCCTCAGTAAGTGCTCTTAATGGTGTATAGTCAAATGCTACTCTAGTAATTTTCCGATCGGTTTGGGCCTTTTTGTCCATGAGACACCACCGTATGCGACTATTGAGCCAAATTGAATCCTCTTCATCGTACTTGTTTTGCACTACGCTCAGCCGTGAGTGGAAAGTGTGTTAAACTGTTCAACTATGTGTAACAACTGAAGTACGTCGTGGTCAGTGAGGTTGGTTTATCCATCGTTTAGGATGGTGGGCACCACTAGCATCTACCAATATTCAAGGTTTACATTTAATGAAAGTATCAAACTGTATTGGGAAGTTTATGTATTTTACACCTATAAATTTATGTTTGCTTTTAAACTCTCGAAAGCCCATTTTTTGTGGTCGTTCCTTGTGTCTTCCATGGTAGCGTTGTATTTAGGCACTGCTGCGAAATGAGTTTCTCTCGTGATGCTTCTCAATTTTTCCGCGTACTCATCTGCTCTTTGCCTGTGAGTGTTTAGATAACTATTCACTTGGCATGTAGGAAATGGCTTTCAGCGCCTTTATTCAAATTACAGGCGCCCACTTCCCTGAACCCCGTTCCATCTCTAATACTGAATTCCTTGGTTAATTAGTGGTTATTTGATGACTAATAGATAAAAAGAGCGTGCATCGTAGCGCTTATTTTTCGGCCTCCACAGATCTTTTCGTAAAAGTCTTCATTACCAATGTTGCTATTATGCCTACCTCAGCAATAACATTTACCTCTTTTTTCACTCGTTACCTTCAGCTCGTGTGTGTGATTCATTCATCATCCGCAACCATATCACGGTTTTATCTAACTATAGTGTCTCACATATTGTTGGTGGGTCCTTGGGGCTATTTATTGGTATTTGTAAATCTAATAGCTCTTTTAGGCTAGTTTTTAGTCAACAGTCACTGTCGAGCAGCTTGATCGGCGGCTTTTCTACGCATTACCCCATCACTGCTCCATTACTGATGCAGTCAGAAATATGCTATGTTGGTTTAAGCGTTCCGGCGAGTAGCCTTGTACTCCAGGCGTCTGATGATAGGGGGTGTAAACAAACATAAAAGGATTAGGCAAAACTTTATGGGCAAGGCAGTGTGGGGTTGGAGTGTTTCATATTCATCCTTCCCTTCCCCTTAGCATCTGCTCCTTCACTGTTTTCATGTCCACCGACCTTAAATATGCAAAATTTGGCTTAAAAGATCAGTTTTTGGTTGATTCTTCGCGGTTTATAAGATTTTTAATCTACTATTGTTATAATACTTTCTCAGAGAGTCGCTAATTCCCCTATTACGGGAGATTATCTATGGTAAAGTCTCATCACTTCATGAGCAGGTAAACGGACTGCCCATGCATCTGTGAATTTCTGTTACCTTGTTTTGAAGAATAGTAGTAGATGTTAGCAACTTTTATATGTCTGTGATGGATTGCCCAGCGCTCAGTTTCAGCCATGATTCGCCGTCTAAAATCATGGGAATGTGGTGAGATAAACGGTCTGCAAACCTGTAGGGAGGAAGTTGAGTTGAAATTCATTGCTAATGCTAACCCGCCATTGCGTGGGGATTAATTTAAGACAGTTTTACGCCCCTTGGTTTTGTGCATTTTCTACTGCTATTCGATTATATTGGGAGTACGCATCTGTCTCGACTCTCCTGTACTTTCTTGCACTTCCTTACGATACTTTGATATTTTCCACTTTGGTTCACCTATTTGAAAAGATACTACACTTTCTATGCACAATTTCATCTTTTCCAATAAGGCTTTGTAGCGTGCACCTTCACCGTCGTGGAATTGTTTGAACTAAGGCTTGGTGTACATTGAGACTGAAAAGTTTTGACTACGAAAAACAGGCGATACCGGTTCATAAGTGGCATGCTGGTTTCATTACCGTTTAGCAAACGTTTGTCCGCATCCTCTTGGCTTTTCGCGCACCAGCTGCGCTTCATAAATCACAGCTGCCCATTTTAGGTGATGCCATTGTTGCGCTGCCAAGTAGACCCATTCTGGTGGTGTTTTTGAATCGACACTTCAAGGATCCTGTTTGCTTACTTGCACAAAGCAAGACATTATGTTTATCTGAGTTTAATTGAACTCGGTTAGGCTTTCGATTCACTATTGCAAACCAGCTTTCGGTGATGTGAGAGGGAGGTGATGTAAAAAAACTAGTTAAACTAGTACTTGTTTTGGTTGCATTCGGTGGGTTTGTACATGAAGTAAAACTGACGGCGAGGAACAAGATTAGCCTCATGCTAATCCTCTGCCCCTTCTTTTCACATCTAGGCTGAGCTTAACCCTATAAGACCTCGGGCGTCTCGTATGGTGGCTACAATGTGGGGAGGATTCCATTTTCAAAGCCTACTTCCTTTTGTCTCTTTTATAAATCCTGAAGACAGCCGACTTTTAATGCTCTTCCGCAGATCATAATTTCTACTGTTGCACCACTTAAGGGCTTTCGGTACTTTACCTGAATTTTGTCTCACTCATACTTGGTTCGTGTTTTCACTGAAAACACGTTAGAGGATGCCACCGGGGGGACTAACCAGACAAGGTACTGTTTACCAGAGGAAGTACTCAGGTTCACTTATTTCCAATTTTCAGAAGTGTATGCTTTCTGCTCCCTTTTGGCCTTTTACTTTTTTGCCAGATAGTAGGCTGTAAACTTCAGTGCTCCTCTATGAATCTTATTATTTTACATTTGCTTTCATTCCAGCCTTTCGAACTGCCTTTTAGGCAGATTGCATTGGCTTTGCCACTTCCAGAACTCTCAGAGGCGAATCAACCTTAATCAAATATATAAGTACCTTATGGCTGTGGATTTTATAGAGATTTCCAGTTGTTTGTCCCTCATTTTGAATTTGATGAGCTTCATCTTGCTAAATTGTCAATCTCCTGTGTAAATGTTTGCATCTGAATTTGATTATGTCAAGTTTACTTGTTGGAATTTTTAATCCCAAACATACATCATTTTTTGGCTGACTTTCTGTTTTATGTAATGTTATGATGTTACTTCTAGATATCTGTTTTTTGCCTATCTTTGGAATTGCTCAGTCTCACCACTCAATACTTCCAAAGCATTTTTGTTGTTGCCTCTACATATCTACTTTTAGAATGCTTGTTTGATGCGAAACGGCGTTTTGGGTGCTTCATTTAACATGCTTCAATTTTCTTATGCCTAATAAAGCTGTGTCGAGTCGTCGTTATCATCACAATATTTGTACGTAATAGTTGATTTTTCTCATGCCATGTACGGGCCGTTTACGGTGGTGCCATAAAGCAGAATATCTCCTGTCGGTGTCTTCTCTTTCTGTTTGCAGAACTGGAACTTGTGCAGCAATTAACTTCTCCCGGTTGACTTTTTAGTATCAAAATATATTGCTCGTAGGAAGCTCACATAATAGTTCGTTAATTTGTTCGGCTGCAGCCTTTTCTAACGTCTTGGTGGGAATACACTTTCAGAATAAAAAAACTTTTGTCTGCTCTGTGTGAGAATGGCGGGAACTAGCAATATACCTTCCTTCTTCTGAAGAAACAGTTGAATCACAGGAACCCAAATGAACCAGTGTATCCAAACACCTTCTTGTGCTGCTCAGCAACATCTATACTTTGGACGTTGCTCTTGGTGCTAACCCTGGTCGCTTCTGCTTTGGACATTGCATCCTAAAGGGACTGAAAATCACCTAGTGCTTTTAATAGCTACAATGTTTTGAATCCAAAGATGTTTAGCAAACCCACGTTATGCAACTTCACTGGCCTTCTTCTACTTGAAGCTCAACACTACTCTGTGTATATGCCTTCTATGGTCATACGGTTGCTTGGGAAGCCTCCTGTTAAAAAAAGACTAATAATCCAAATTATGTATAGCGATCTTGTTCCCCTTCACCCCCTTGATGTACTATTTGAGTTATGTTTGTAATCTTACTGCAGGAAATTTTGATTTTCTTGAAGAATAGTCTTAGAACTCAAACTTGAGCAGCTCGTTTAAATTTGACAGACTGTCGTGCCTTATATTTAATGAGACTTATTTTTCTGCCTAATAACGATAAATATCTTCTTTTTATAAACTTTTTACTTGGGGCCTCGTCAGTACAAGTTGGAAGTGCTTCTTTGCAGAGTGCCTTTCTTGTCGTTCTCAGCACTAATGCATCTCCAATTCTTCCAGAGACATGGGCATGCTGTTCTAAGTGAAAGCTCGATATATTCATGAAGGAATACTTGTTTGAGATAAGGGAACCAGGTGCCATTGATGCTATGAATGGGCCTACCGTGATAAGCACTGCATAGCCTTAGGTCACCAGACCAAATAACATCCTGTTACGCAAATCTGATATTGATACAATATCCTAGTCGTGTTTGAAAGCTTCCGAAAGTAAGCTCATGCACACATGGGTAGTACAAACATTGTGAAATGTATTTAAATATAAGGCAAGTGTAGAAAACTGGAAGCGTTCTCCCAGGCACAATACCTTTATTCTCACAGCTTTTTTTCACAATTTTTGCTCTAGGATGCGATGACTCCTATGGATGTGACCTCTGAGTGCCTTGCTGCAATGGCGCACATCTGCCGAGGCCTGTTGGTGAAGCCCTCTTTGAGAAGTCGTGTAACTCGTGATGATACTCTCATGCTTCTTCTACGGGTCATGACTGGGGTTATAATTCTCTACGATCACATCGATCCCTATGGGGTCTTCCGAAAGACCTCCAAGCTAGATGTGAGTGTTCTTTTGGCTGGAACTGCATCATCTGATGGATAGATTTGGTCGAGTGGGAGGGAACTGGTATGCGACTTTGTAGAGAGCTATATTTAAAGTACTTCGTTCCTTAATGGCATTTATCCATTGCTGTTCTGAATTGCCGTCGGCTACACGCGTCACTGAATGATCACGATCGCTTTTGTCAACTGATATTTATGGATTTGATTGCACTTGACCTTTGGCATTTATATCAGATAGTTGAAGTAAATCACAAATGGTGCATGCGAAGAGCATATCCACATATGTCATTTTTAATTTACCATTTGTTGTTTTTGGTGATTGTGGATTGTGTAGGAGCATAATCCTACAGCCCATGTTTTCGATGCTTTTGACTTTTGTGCAAGTTAGTTTGACGATTCGTGTTCAACCATTCCTTGTCTGTTATTAAATTGCATTCAGTGTTCCAGACTGTGGCAACCTAGAGGGTTACCAAGCGTAGCTACATTGGCCTAGGGGACATTATGCAAACGATGCAAGAAAACACTGTTTCCTCCTGTTTCTGTTTCTGAGTTGAGCAAATTTGGGCGCATTGACCGTGTTTTATGGACCAAATAGTCATAATATGCGATGTATTCTACTCTTCTCACTAATGCATTCTTGAGTCGATGTGAAAATTGTGATTTAATTACTCAAGTCCCTTATTTGTGTGGCTGAAACTCCTTTGTAATCATTAGATTCGGACACCTTACATGGTCCTCAATTGTTCCACCATTTACTTTTATTGTTTGTCTCAAGGGTAGCTTCCTTTGGTGTTTGAAGTACTGACTAGCATATTGGCATTGAACTCAGAGTGCAAATATGAAAGTAAAAGACACCAGTATTTCTTACATGGCGAAACCTTCCAAGTTATTTGGTTCTGGCAAAGGTCGCTCGCTTTTGACAACTTACGTTTGGCACAGATTTCCCCACCTCCTTCTCTTCTTTTTCATCACCTCACTTCTCCGTAGTATTTTAGTGCTCACTTGCTATCGTAATTGTTCCATTTGCCTAGTTTCATGCCCTATCCAAAGCAGCATGATTCTTTCTGACGGTGACAAAGACGACTGTCAATCTTTTTGGACTTTGTTCAACTACTCTATCAGCGCATTGCATCGTTCTCAATGTCTGGTGTGCTACTAGCGGATACAGAAGAGGTACGCAGCCATGATGGCGTTGATCACACCATTACTGATCCGGCTGGCGTGCGTCAGAGTAGCATGCTGCAATTGTGGCTCATGTTTTCTCAACAAATGCGGCAAACCTACGGTTGTAATTATGTGTTGGTGTTGGTATTGTAGTCCATTTTCTTTGCACTCCACTTCATCTGTGTAATTCCATCTGGCACCTCTACACGATTACTAAGTAGCTGCAGCCTAGAGTGGAACCACCACAGTTGCAACCTGCGTTGAGTTTGGGAAGGGCTCACCAAAATAGGCCTTCTGAAATTGTCTTTCGAAAGTAGGTTATCGCTACCGTTAGAATCACCAAGATTAACAAAATGAACATTGATTTGCATTTGAGTTATGCAGCTGACTAGCGGGACCAAGAGATGTTTTTAATTATCATGGTGCGTCGTGCTCTTCTATTTCTGTTCGTCGACCTCTCCTCGGGGAAATCCTCTAAGAAAAACTGAATCCGGTAAACGTGGTACATTAAGCCGTAACCGTTTTAATGGTTGGCAGCACATCACAATAGGCAATAGGAAAATTGATATTTTTGGCGAAAATATGCGTATAGCAAGTAAAAGCATTTCAGAAATGCGCTAAAGTTCATCAACAAGGTACAATTTCCTCGTTGCTTGAAGTGTATATTCTGCGTTTCAACGGAGGGATGAAACTAGTTGAATACCTCTACCCAATCAACTAATTTTAAACCCATCAACTAAAGACGCTGTTAGTAAGCGATTTTAATGGCTGTGGCGCCTAGTAGTCATCACATCTTTAGTGCAATAAGCATGACAACCAAAGATACCAAGATGTTGCCCAAATTTGTGCAAGAGGTAATGTTTACAATTTACCCCACGACTGTCGCAATTAGTTTGACCCCGAATGCCCATAAGTTCTTCCCAGGATTCCAATTTTATGGCTCTGCACAGGAAATCTTCCTCTACTAAGAGGGTCGACACATCGTAGGTGAAGGAAAGGTGATAAAATTCGACTCGCAATTGCGCCTGCATCCTACAGCAGGCTTGTGTTATGAGTGTTCAGAAGAAATTCGTGAGCTTCCTCTTAAAGTCCATCTGCACCCCAAATCTAAGCAACGTTTTCAATCTTCAGAAAAGTGGGTGTGAAACCTGAGGAACTTGATATTCCTGCCTTATCCGAACCCTACTTTAGCCACTTCTTGTGCGATGATGGAACGGCCTCGAACAACCTTTCTTAATGGTCATGGCGATATGCACCATTTCGATCTCGCATTAAGCTCGACAACATCTATGGTCTATGAGTCAAGAACTAAAAACAAATGGGTCCGTACTTTGAATACTTCGTTTACCTTTTCCAAAATTCTAAAGATCAATTATGAATGGAAAGAAAGTGCACTTTCATCTCAACATTTAATTGGGAGATTAGTGGATAAATATGCAGAATCTTTTCTACTGCAATTGTTTTGGTCTTTTCAGGTGTACTCGCTAAGCTTGCACGTTTCCTATTTAGTCACTTCTAATTATGCACATAATCACGTCATCTTCGTGTTGATACGAGAGAAGTGCGTGTGTTTCTTTTCTCACTTCATTTGGGTAATGTTTCCCCACGCACGTTACTGTGTCATAGGCTGGCTGGACGCCAGAAGAGTGGTGTGCCTATTACGATGAATGAGTGCACTTAACTGGCCCTTTTTCGTAGCAGCAGCCTCTCTTTGTCAGTGCAAATGAGTTATTTAAGTTTATCTTAACTTGATTTCGCTTCACGTTCTGGATTGGGAAATGCATTTTTATGGAATTTAATGCATCTATAAGTTCAGGCTGCTTTCTGGGACTCTTTGCACATTGACATCGAGATACGTTAGTTAGGTTGACACTGCGCAGCATGTATCGGTCACTTTGGTGTTTGTCTTTACCCGCCTTTCAACTTACTCCTTTTGTGCTTAAATGGATTAATGTATTTTATTAATTCAATTCAATTCCATATTTTACCAGTCTTATGTAGTTTGTTCGGTTTTTTGCATTCTTTGTCGCACCTAGTTCACATATCAAGTACTGGCCACCCATCTGAGAGAGGGAAGACGGATGGAGGCAACAGTTCTGCTTTTGTGTCAGTAATATTCGAAACCTGTGACCACTTTTCTATCGTGTTTGTCAGTTGCTTATTAATCTGGATAACGTAGGCTCTTTTACCCTCTACACCTCGTGTATGCTCCGATGGCTATGGGATGAATGTAGGTCAAATTAGAGTGAATTGTAGGCATCTCTGAGGGAATCAAAAAATTCAATTCTGATAACGGGGCGTAGTAAATAAAAATTAGCTCCGCTGGTATAGTAGTAGTAGCAGTCGTTTTATTATTCAGCTCTCTGAAACCACAAGTTATTCCAGTAGATTGTATTTTCACACTAAACAGAACTTAAAGGTGCATTCATTTTGAACGACTAGGATGTGAGGCTGTTAGATGCTACAGCCTCTTCTAGGTAGTCTGTGGTCTCGAATGCCCAGTGCCATGTATCTCTGCTATGTGGGTTTGGGGATGGTGCTTGAAAAATTGGAATTGTCCCCCTTTTGAGATGGATCTTCCACTATTGCCATCAATAGATCAATGCAAGCCTGGAATAGGTCAGATATGAATGTTGTAAATAAAGTTCCGCACCACAATGGGCTGTTGTCAAGCCGTGAATATGGCAGTTTCTTTATTAAGTAACCTTAGGGTAAATAATTGTCCTGATGTTTTATTAAATGAATATGGATATGCACGCGGCCACGCTAGTGGTGCGTTACTGTCTCACATGCCCTTCTGTACGAAGACGAATGCGAACACATAAAAGGGGTGTGGTAATAAATAGAAATGCAATTTATTCCATCCTGTTGCGGGTTAATCAACAGAAGGTGAGAGGAGAACTAAGTATCTGATGGTCTTGTTGGTTTATAGTCCAATTCATTGCCGGGGATTATTTGCGAAATCACTTATATATAAAATGCCATTTTGATGGTACGGTTCAAGGGTTTGCGCACTGATGCTGGAATGGCACCTTTCCTATATGTGATCTCCCTTCCCCAGCCCTGACTGTAAATAAGCCCCGTGACATAAAGAATAATGCTTCCGTTGTAACTATTAAACTATGGACTATTTGTTTCAGTTCACGGAATGTTTTGTTTTTGCCTAAAAGTGAGTTGATGTTTACGGTCTTATGGGGATAGGGTTTATTCTTTATTCTGCGTGTTGCCACTCCTAGTCTTCATTCAACCATTCGAAGCATTTCGAATCGCAGATATCTTAGGTCCTGTACTTACATCCATTCCTCCTTGACTTATTATTTTCGTTGCGAACGTATGTTTGCAGGTGAAGAGCTGCGTACGACTATTGAAGGAACAGAACCCAAAAAGCGTTCAATGTTTGCTCAACGCAATCAAGTGAGTCCCTTTATTTTATCCCGTCTATTAATACTGCTTATGCTACGTGCCTAATTGTGCCAAACAGCAAAACAGTTTTTACCTTCTTTTTGGAGCGTCTATCTCTTGGATTATGCTCGATTTACCGAACAGGTCCACTTTAATGCTAATTTGAACTCTACTTCTGCTATAAATCTTTCCAACAAGATGGAAGCGTCCACGTTGAGTATCAGGAAACATAAAAGGTGTTATTAACTTATGCTTCTACTTTTTGCTCTTGCATTTATTCCATTGATTATCCTGTCCTCTGATGGCTAAATTAAAGACCTTTTTACTTTTTAAAAACACTTTTGTTGTGGCGGTATTAACTGTACTCTCACGAGGGCATCGTTTGGGATGCTAACAATGGCGAGCTCTTGGGACTCTTCTAGTATTGTTCGTAATTTGTTTCTCTCTTTCCGTTCCTGTTTTCTTCTGCATTGGAGCGCACAAAGCATGAGAAGGTAAATGAAGACCATTAAACGTCGAGTGCTACGGTTTAGCATCGCTGGATTACTATATAATGTTTGGCAGTAATGCATATCTCTAATCCACCCGAATGTGGAGGAGTGGACTTTTGGTACTTATCACCACATGTAGTGTTTGGGCACCACCACCAACGCTTCTCTTTTCGAGACTGAAGCAAATATTTGGCTTGGATACTACATGGATGAACCATGATGAGAGTTTATCAGCTAAAAAGAAGCGATTTGCGCACCCAGAGATGCGATTATTTCCATGCTTGCGTAAGCAATAGCCACTGCCTACATTATACTACCTGCTTGAGAATGGAGTAGGACTTTGTGTATGTGCAAATTTGTGTCGCGTGTCTGCACTGCCAGCCTCATGCTTACCCTTCCCGAAGGCGTCGCTTTTCTGATTGATCGGTTCATCTGATGGCGTTCAATGAATGTATGTATGTATTGGACCTCTTTTGTCGTGTTAAAGAAACGAACAATTCTTCTTCTGATATCAAAATGTTTCATTTATCTGTCAATCAACAGGATCATGAGGCCCTTTGAATTGCCGGAACTTATCGGATGAAATCAAAGACTCATGCATAGGATGTGTTGATAATCTTACTGGATGACCTCTGGACTGCTGTGGGTAGTTGTCACTTATTGCTCGTAGAGGAAATAAAAAGCACAAGTCATCATCAATTTGCTGTTCCCATTTCCTCTTGTATACGATCCTAGGATGCCAGGACGCATTCAAGTAAGGTTGTTGGAACCTAATTAGCACATTTTTTCATGCGCTTGTTGGGATCAAAGCTCACCCATGGCATCCACGGTGTTGAAATGATTCGATATTTCATATTTGACTCAGATTATTTTCTCATCTGTAGTGCATTTTAGTTGTTTGGGAATGGCTTCGAAAGCCGTTGATGATCGCCTACTTCAATAGTTATAGGCATAATAAGCAATCATCGATGTATTCATGATTTCCCACCTCTTACAAAAGGTCTGAATAATTTTTGCTGCAAATGGATTTTGGGAAGTAAGGCAATTTCCTCTTCCCATGTGTCTGTCATGAAGTGAAGACAATTGACGTCACATGGCCACGGCATACCTATATCGAAACGCCTACGATTTTGGAAGGTAGAATGTTTTTTGACTATTTGTTATCTTCTGACTCCTGATTGTGGTATAACTCGACTCCTCACAGTGTTTTTTGCTACCAGACCTGTAAAAATGCGCAATTGGCCTCAGTTCATGCAGTGCCTCTCATCAATGGATTTTTCGGTACTATCAGCACATGTTATTTGCTTTTATAAATTTTCTTCTTTGCTTCCATCTACTGATCTATCCCTTTACTTCACTGGCTTTTTGTGCTGTCTCGAAGGCATATCGTCTTTTTTCTTCACCACAGAAGGTACCTGGCCATCTCAACCATATTGGCCAATAGGCGGACCAAAGGTATTCGAATTCCAGTCCCTTCGTCTGGGCAAAATTATCTTGTCCTGGCCTTAATATTGCACCATGCTGTAAATTATAATTTCAATTGTTCCACAGGGTTTTATTTGTAATCCCTTACATAAAACCACAAAATTGGCTGAATTTCCTACCCATATCACTCGTATGCAAAAGTAGCTCGTCCGCTCCCTTTTTGGTTTAGTGATCCCCGCATTACTCCGAAGAGCCTACGAAATAGGACCTCTTCTTGGCTTTTTTTGCTCAGATCATGGTTTTAAATGTTTTCGCAAGCTTTCCTTTTGTCCTCTCTGTCTCCTGATTCAAGCATACCGCATTTTGGATGTTAACATAGAGATGAGTACGTGGTGCGAGTTTAATACTTACTAAGGAATACTACAATCTTAATTTCACAAAACTGACTACTCTCGCTCTTTAAAATGTTGTATTTGTTCAACCGTACGAACGCGTTTAGGTGCTGTAGGCTTAGCTTTGATTTGACCACAAAATCAATTTAAAGACCTTGGTATCTGCGTTAAATTCCGGCTGGAAGAAGTCTCCAACCAGATGAAACCAGGGTAGCCATGGTAATAGTATGAAATTGGTACAGAGGTCTAATAAAAGACCACATGGCGCCTAAGTGTGACTGAAGTACTTCGCATTTTGTGGAGATGTTGTAGAATTTCTTTTACGGGATGGAGGGCTCTCAGGCTCCTCTAAAGACGATTATGGCTGGTCTACAGGGAGCTAGAGCCTACTGAATTCAAACTACTCCACGAATGCACAATCACGGACTTCTAGCGGTCTGTCGCAAAGAATCGGGTTTTTCAAACAGTTAGTTACAGTCAAGAAACGTCTTATTTATGTTTAAGCTTCTCGTGAAATTGATCACCTGCATTTCCCTCTTGCAATCCCAAAAGCAGTATTCATGTTCATTTTAATTTGTGTTGTGCACAAGCCCTTGATAAAGCTCCATCGACCAACCTTGCGATTTTATATGCAATAGGGGATGATATCTTCATCGAGTTTTCGGTTTCAACATAACTGTAGCTTTAAATTTTTGTTCCACTTCAACAGAGAGATCGTTTTTTCGCTTCTTCATACTTTTGCTCACACGCTGCCTCTAGCCAGTTAGTAGTGGATGCATTACCGTTCTATTATAGCTACTGGGTGACAGCAGTAAGGGTTTATGTATACACGAAGAGGTTATCACATTACACACCGGTTTGTCAGCAGCGACAGGCGCGCTTTTGAATGTAACAACAGCAGTAGTAAGAGTTGACTAATCTTATCTCCTATATATTTCGACGCATCAACAAAGAGGAATATGCATCGTTTCACATGTCAGCCATTCCCGCTTGCTATTTCCCCGTGATTCCATGTGGTTCTCGATGAAAAGTTGTGATTACCTTTCTACATTGAATGCCCTACGTCGGTACTAATGTTTACCTCTTTGTTCTTACTGTAGATACTCCACTCTTCACTTTACAGACGAAACAACTCCTCGTGTGATCAAGCAGCTCCTTGCCACAACTGCGTAAATAAGGTGGATCTCGTCTCTTAGTGCCGTAGGGACACCCACCACCAATGGTTACCACGCCACTTTTTACTTTTGTGTCCTCCTCCCTTTATTTCATCAAAAACTGTACAGGCCATGATCGTTGGCATTGCTATTCATTTCATTTGCAGAACGGATAGTCACAGAGGTTTCTTCTTCAGTCACTGTTGCTCCCTGTGTACTTTTAATTAGTACGACATTGAACTCGGACAGCTTTGCTCATTGCCAACGACCACTGAAATTCTTATGGCAACAATCTTCAATTGTACGAAATGTTTGTAAGAAAAGAACAAACGTGTGTTTATTCGCTGACGCAAGTTTGACGTTCCCAGGCTGCCGTAACATAACAAATCGTGCTGAGGTTTGATTGTTTTTTTAAGAGTTGGAGATGCTAGCAGGTGCGGCGCTTGGAGGATAGGCTACCGAGCTAAGGTTTTGCATCCAGCAAGTGTTTGTCATTTAATCTAGTATGGGAAAGCAAACATTGACGTAGGGAGTGCATCTGGGGTGAAAGCACTGCTTGAGGGTTTTCTGGGGCGTTGAGTTGACGGTCCAAGGCGGACAGCATTGACCCATCATTCTGAAAACAGTTCGACCACGAGGCACCATAATTGTTTTAGCAAGTTGGCAGGCCTGCGTGGGATACCTAACACCGGTGGGTCGGACATGCGTTCATGGTCCCACCGCTAGGTCGGTCCAGTGGTATCGGTTTATCGGTGAAACGACACTAATCGTGAATTCAGAAAATGTGTGTGCAGACGTGGTGGTTCAAAAGTAGGAAGACTTATTCTCCATCCAACTGTTGTTATCAAGTTATATTAGGTAGAAGAAGGTATGAATCCAAGCCGAATGCATGCAATCCAGATAGAATAGGGGTTCGCCTAGACTACGCCTGGATATTGGTACACACGAACAATGGTCAAACGAAAATCAATGCCGTAGCGTCCGGAGACTTCCCACAGGGTAGAAGTAGTAAGTGGAACTAAATACGTGTATGCCAAGGAGAACAAAGTAACCAAATTTGAGCATGGCCCAAAGGCCAGACCGCGCGTACAAGGGCCGAACAAATCTCAAAACTATCGACAGATATCAGGTGGCCGCATAAACAAAGTGTTACAAACGTAACCGCCAAATATAAGGTAGTCATATAAACGAAATATTACAGCCATGGTTATAGCTGTGCATGTAAGTCTTAAAATATTAATTTAATGTTGAGTCTTTTACAATGCGATCATCTAAGGGTTCGCTTAAAAATCAGATCTGAAAAGACGATTCAATTATGGTAAAATGTCATCCCTACATTTTAGTCCGTGATTGCATTAGTGATAGTTTCAACTGATCAGTTGTATTGCGCAACTTTAAAGCACTGCTTTTCCGTTGGAAGGGATGGCTAATGACGCTAGTGCGGCACTTAATGTTGGTTATATTTCATTGTTTATGCTCGAATTATAGAAGGGTATCGACACTATAGTGAAGGCTACTGAAGAGGACAAGAAAAAGAACTATGAGGAGGCATTACGTCTTTATCAGATAGGGTGCGATTACATGCTTCATGCCCTCAAATGTGGGTTTTTTTAACACTTCAAATTTATTCTTAGATGGGTGTCATAATGACAAATCTCGGGATAGTATTAAAACTAAAGTATGCCAATATCTGGATCGTGCGGAAAAGATTAAGAACTATCTTGAGTCAAATCCGGCTGAGGAAGTAAGAGCCATTAGTATTTTATCTTACTGTTAATTGGGATCAAAATTTATTTCTTATACATTTCTTCGCACAGTAACGGTACAGTTAATGTGTTTGTCTCCGTTTTCTCCAAGCAAATTGGAATCTCTGATGCTAATACAAGGAAGACTTTCTAGAACAGAGTTGCATCTTTCCTTTGGAAACCATGTTCCTTTGCAAAATCCTGTATCTTTGTTAGATTTAGTAAATCAAGATTTTTTAAAATTTACGATTGGTATGGCTGTCTATTTTCGGTTACCCCAATACTGATGTCGTTCTCTTATGCTATTACACTTTTAATTCCTTTACATTATTTTAAAAATATCAGTTATTTCGGTTTGGTTGAGTTTATTGTGAAATTAATACAAATATGCTCATAGTACCTCTCATGACACTTGTTTTTTGTTGTTTGAACAATGGCGTTAGTCACGGTGAATAGTATATGATAGTCCCATTAGCATTGCATGAGTGTTAATTGTTTGTAGGCATCTTCTGAAGGTAGCACAGAGAGGAAGCCTGTCAAAGCAGATAAGGAGGAAGACGCCGAAAAAACGAAGTTCCACAACCAACTTAGTGAAGCTATTGTCATGGAAAAGCCCAATGTTAGGTGGGATGATGTTGCCGGTCTTGAGGCTGCCAAGGAAGCCCTCAAAGAGGCCGTTATTCTACCCATCAAGTTCCCGCATTTGTTTACCGGAAAGCGAACACCGTGGCAGGGTATTTTACTCTATGGCGTGCGTTTATTTTTACTTCACCTGGTGTCTAGAATGATTTTTTTATGGCCAGTAAGTCGACTATCCATTACAGCCACCAGGGACGGGAAAGTCATACCTTGCTAAGGCCGTTGCCACAGAAGCCAACAAGTCTACCTTCTTCTCAATTTCTAGCTCTGATTTGGTGAGCAAGTGGTTGGGTGAATCGGAAAAGCTTGTGAAAAATCTCTTCGAGCTGGCTCGTCAACATCGGCCCAGCATTGTGTTTATTGATGAGGTTGACTCTCTTTGTGGTTCTCGGAGCGAAAATGAGTCTGAATCAGCCCGCCGAATCAAGACGGAGTTTCTCGTACAAATGCAGGTTGGTGTTAACACTGCACTAACTTTTTATTGTCGCTGTGGCCTTTTTAGGGCGTAGGCACAAATAACAAAGATGTACTCGTTTTGGGTGCAACCAATATTCCTTGGTGTTTGGACTCGGCTATCCGTCGACGCTTTGAGAAGCGCATCTATATCCCACTACCAGAGGCCCCAGCTCGTGCCAAGATGTTCCGCATGCATCTCGGCACCACACCACACGATTTGAAAGATGCTGACTTCAAGAAGCTTGCAGATATGACTGATGGTTACTCGGGGGCTGACATCGCAATCTGCGTTCGCGAGGCTCTCATGGCACCTATTCGGAAGGTTCAGACCGCCACCCACTTTAAAAAGGTTTGTACTACTTTGAAGCCACCCACTCTGCGGGAGGATCTGACGTAAAGCCACTTGAGCCCATCTTAGAAGGAGATACTGATTGCCATTTGTGTGTATGTCGAAGAAGAGTAGATATATTTCACATGCATTCGATTTGAGTGCAATCTCCGATGACAGCTGTAATAAATACCTCCTCATCGTCGCCAACGTAGTCCAGCCAGTAGTTTCGTTTATTTTGTTACATGGACCTGTGGACTGTTTGACTCATCTGCCTTCAATATTACTGTTTATGCCGGAGCTTTGTGGGTAGTTCATTCAAATTACATCAGATTGTGTACTTTCTTCCCTTGCATTAAATTATTTTAATCAATTTGGGCATAGTGTCCAATTGTATTATTTAGCGCGGAACAGCAGGTATGTCAGGAGCCGATGTGCATGTGGGATCTTGTAAAGGTGTTGTGTCCATCAGACATTGAGACAATCCTTGCTCCTTCAAATAGTGTTAAATTTCCATTCCACATTCTAATTAACGCATCATATTTTAAAGTCACCTTTCATGGAACCGACTAGGTTACCTACAGTTATTTTGATTTGAAGCAGTTAAGCGTACCTTGCCTGTGGTATGATTTATTTGAGCATCGAGGTACAACTTACCCACATTGGCTTAGGTAAAGCCAATGAGTATAAATAGCTCCAAATGATATTGCCGCACTGTCAAATAAGCTTTAGCATATACCGTCTAAGGTGTTTTCACATAACACATTTTTGGTAGTTCGATGCGAAGGCGAACTATTCATACAAGTCGAGTCTTGTGCACTTCTTTGCGTTGGCTTTCTGCGACTTTCTATTGTTCTAAAGCATCGGTATGCAGCGTATCCAACAGTTTCCAAACCCTACACAGTCTTCGATGCCCATAATTTCACCCGTGACGTCAGCCTTCCAAATTCCCGACTGCAATAAGCTTAAGCGTCCGTTTTTTCAGCATTTTGTATGCATGGCATTGCTCGACGCTTCCACTATTCCAAGATAAAATGCTTAACCTTCTTTTCATCTTCAGGTACGTGGTCCCTCCCCTACGGACAGATGCGTGGAAGTGGAAGATCTTTGGACTCCCTGTTCTCCCGGCGACCGGGGTGCCGTGGAAATGGACTGGACCCAGATCAAGGGAGACAAGCTCTTCGACCCCATTGTTTGCATGGTAAGGAAGTAAAACGGTCCAAGCAACAATTTTTGCAGTACACGTACCACCTACTTGCTGTATCTTCCAGGACGATATGATTCAGGCGGTGAAGCGCTCCAAGCCGACGGTCAACGAAGCCGATCTTCAAAAGCAGCGTGATTTCACAAGGGATTTCGGCCAAGAAGGGTAGGGGGAGATCCAGGTGATCGGCGGCCCACGCTACTGTTCAACCCAGTCCGTTGCTTACGCGCCCCCTGCGGTACCCCGCGACGAGGCGCCTACTCCCCATGCAAAACCCGCAACCCCGACGTTCCCCCACCCGCTACCCTTATTTGTGACCCACCGTGCTGTTATCACTACAGACGTTACCACCTATACCCGTGTTGTGCGAGCTCCTCGCGGCAGTCACATTCTGGGGTTACGTGACAACGACCAAGGCGCGCGATCCGGCCCGCCTAATAGCTCCAACCCGGAGTCCTCAAACGTCCTTGCGCACGAACACAGGGGCAAGCAACCACCCAACCCACCGAATAGTCGAGATCCCATCCACTATGATCAGAGTGCACCATCCGGGACACCGACTGCCTACACCATGCACGAGAAGCGTCACAAAAGTCAAAGCCACCTAGCGCCACACCCATAACCTGTTTGCCGAAAGCTCACACCCGAGAAGAGCATAAACACAAACGGTCATCAATTCACAACTGTTATACAAGCATGTGAGACATCGCCAAGGATCCATGTTCGTCAATGAGTGATAAGTACCCTCGCCCTACTGGAAGAAAGCACGCCACGGGCTACTGCTAGAGGTCAAATGATGCCTAAAAGACAGAAAATTACAACAGACTACCAACTGTTGAAAAGAGACAGTGTAAGGGAGGGTTAATTTGTCGGTTTAACGGCTTGTCGTGAGTTCTCTGTCGATTCGACTATTCACGATTATGGAATGTTAAAACGAAGACTGATCCAGGGACCGTCATTTCGATATCTGGCACGCTGACTGCATGACATAGATCATGACGAAAGCCAGAAACACCCTGAGGCCGCACACCTTTCGATGGAACCGCAAGGTGACCGTGCCAACGACAAGAGGCAAAGATTCCCTTACCCTAAGAACAGAGGCGGGACTGAACCTTCACCAGAGCGAAGAATCTAAAAGCAAAATTAGGTTCCGGAGTCGCCCAAACTCAGAGAAAAAGAGAATCACGGAGCGTCAGTGAGATTCCTAATCATCACGCGCAAAGACCTACCAACCGGATGCACGCGAGCAAGCTGAAACAATGTCAGAAGGTCCTGCGAACACTAAAACAACTTCGATTAAATTCAATAATTCAATCGACAACAATTTGGGCCACTGCTTTATATCGATAAAAAACAATATAATTAGGCAGCAGATTTTAATTTAGCTCTATTAAGTTTACATTATTTGCAAAGGAAATGTTTTAAATTTGTAAAATGGTGATGTTAATTGATACATAAATGGCTCCATGCAAGATTGTTTCATATGCTGTTTTTATGCCAAAATTACACTTAACTTTGAAATTTGCCTTGCGATTCTTTTCAGGCGGGTACGATTTTCGATTAGGGCTTTGTATTTGTCATTAAGTTCTGCTTCTTGAGTAGCGTTATAAGACTGCCTTTTGGGCTGAAGAAGGCATGTGACTTGTCTGATTTCCTGTATTTGAAGGGCAAAGGAAAAGGTGGTACTTTTACGTATTCCGGATGCCAGCTCAGCCTTTGGACCCAGATCGCCGCCACGGTCAAACGAAGCAAATCTTACATTGAAAGCGTGTTTTATGCCATTTTAGCAGCGCACACAGCGCCGCTAATAATTTAGCAGCTGCCCCCAGTTTTCGAAGACAGAGAACGCATAACACTTGGCAGTGTATGCAATTTCTGTACTAAGGGAAATTGGGTATAAGGGAACAACCTGGAGGCTAGGTCATCCATTCAGGTTCATAAGTCCAACCAAGTGACCGTTGGCATAACTGGGAATGCAGCAAACAAAGAAACGCACTAATGAATATATAATGCATATCGAATCTTTAGCGCGGGCCACACCATGGAGGCTATGCACTCGGTAGTTAGATACTGTTAAGCAGCAATATCAGATCACCACAATAATTGTAGCGTTTCGAGAGTTCCCACCGTGTAGAAGAAGCAGTGAGCGGAGTTGAATACATGTATCCCAACGCGAACAAAATAATTAGGCTTAAGCATGGCCCGAAGGCCAGCCCATGCTAGATATCAGTTGGTCACATAAACAAAGTATTACAATAATTCATTCAAAATGTCGCAAGTTGGTATGAGTCAAACTCGGAGGGTTTCAAAATATTGCACTGATTCCCTGCCAATCACTCGTCCAAATTCAGCAAGTAACATTTGGTTACGACGGTTAATGTTTTGAAGTAAGATGAGTAGCTCCCTTGGTGTAAATCATGCTCCTAATGGAATATTCTTGCCTCTTTTTGTCATTTTGATGTCTTTGCCTGCCTTATTTTATGGAATTCTTATTATAACAAAATGTAAATGGCTCTCTATGAAATGTTGGAACTTTTGATTGCGTAATGCAAGTGCAACTTCGGGTAGTGACTTAAACATTTGCATAGACAAGCAATTTATTTCATTATAGTTAACATGAGAAGGGACATTAACATTTACCGAGTTTATGAGCTTAAGGCTTCACTATAGTGTTACGTACTGACAGAGTTTAAACATGTAACTTGGAACCTTCATTTTAGTAAATCATGTAAACTCACAAATCTGGAGCCATGGCTTGGAAACACAGTGTTCGGAGTGGCTATATTATCCATTCATCAGAGGTCGCGGTGCTGCTACGGAACATCAAATTTCCTTAATACAATACACTTAAATTTGAAAGTTTACTCGATATTGGTATCCCATACTTGTTACTAGCGTCCGTAACTCTTAGGTTTCAATGGACTAAATATAAGCCAGTCGGAGAAACTGAGACATGGTCCGTCGGAGCTATGCGGTGCTAGCGAAATGAACGTGATATGTTTACAACTATGCGAGTGATCCATGCCATGTCAGATCCAACAATGCGTTATTGCTTCAGTAGCCAAATTGGATGGGAAAGTCACCATATGTTAAGTGTAAGTTGGAGGTAAGTAAATCCGATTTGGTATATCGATACAGTGCGTAAAATTGGCTATGATGCCTTAATCTTTCCAAAGCATATATTAACGAGAGCCGTTGTTGAAAATGTGGACGCAAGCAGGTTGGTGTTGCATCACTATGATGTTCTGCTTGTCCTTCCACCGATTTGATTACTTAGGAGGCAGGAATGGCAAAAATGAGATGACCTTTAATCGTATCATCTCTAATATTTTAACTTAACATTAAACGGCTCAGATACTAACTACCCAATACTCAATGTTTCCTCTTTGAATTTTTTTAGGTTTAGCGTCGCCTTTTTGATGGTCAATGTGCGGAACTTGAGGGTGAGGAAGGTTCAGTCTGTCAAATGCAAGTCCCTGATGGCGGTCTAAATTTATCCCACCGTGATGCTAGAACGCAGACGCCAGGTAGCCCCTTAGTGAAGGTCATTGAATGCTGTTATCATTTATCACTTTATTCTGACCAAAAATAAAAGTCTAAGAGCTTGTTTAGTCAAACGCCTATTGAATTAAGCTTGGCATTACCAAATTAAAATCATGAAGACGTAGCAAAGGCATTTATCCATGTTTGTACGGGCTTCCAACTCCAATGTTTAGGTAAAATCCACCTCCTTGCGTTGACATTTTAGAGGTTTTGCCTTGACCTTAATGCCCCGTGCTTGCACCGCCACGGCGTATGCATATTTAGGGGCGTTGAATACCAGGCTGGGTGGAGGAGTGCTCCCCAAATTTCCCAAGAGTGGAACATAAAACAAAACAATTTGCCTAAGTGACTTACTAATATGAAGGATGTTTGATGAAGACGTTTCTTTTTTGGTGTAAGCAGTAAATTAATGAAAAATGTGCCGTTCCGTCACACCCTGTACATCAAGGGTCTACAATGAACAAATGGCACTGCTTTTCTCTTAAATTCCAATTGACTTACCAAGTCCGGTAAAGTAGCAGCAAGACCAAATCCATTGGTGTTAAGGCTATCGAAAGACCCACGTTATTTACGCATCTTCCTTTCAGCAATAAAATACTAATAGCATTGCTTCATGGTTCAAGTAAGCAACCACTCCTAGAATCTAGATTGTTAAAGCCTCAAAGAATTGGAAATTTGAGGGTCGACAGTTGTATGTCCTTTCACCAGTCAAAAAGCCCCTTAGAAGTCTTTGGCCACATACATCTGTCACCATAGGCCAGACGTCTTCGTCGTTGCAAAAACTTCACCTAGTCAATTCAAAAGTGGCCTGTAATCAAAGGAGGGATTCAGAGTGAGTTAATGGAGCACTGATTAACATAGGGAAGTCAACCAAGCAAAAAGTTCTCTAAGCAAAGATTAGCCATGACTGGAGATTGCACGTGTCAAATCACCTGCAGTAGTTTTCTGAGCTTAGATAGCCGTTTTGTGCTTCACTTGAAATTATACGTAAGAGGGGCTTTAAGCAAAATACATCCGGCTCAGCAAATAAAACCCCCGCATAGAACAAACTAAGCGAAGCTGCGTCCAAAGGGCTCGCTTTTCCACCCTTCGGAGGCACATCTCAAGTTTCGAATGAATCAAAAACTTCACTCGACCAAATACTAAAACGCGAATAATTGACCTGATTGCATCCCATCTGATGACCAAGTCATGTTGTTTAAAATCTCGTTCATCACCTTTAGTATCGAGAAGTGGTTGCCTTATTTCCTTAAAAAGATTTCGAGTCACAAATATGCGATGCGTTTTCTTGATGGGTTTTGATAATCACTTAAACCAGATCTCGTTTTAAGTTGGTCGTCTTTGTTCTAAATGGTCAACTATGGGCATGATGTTCTTTCGGTGAGGGTATTTACATTTTTTGCTCACTGGACAACAGTTGGCCTTGTCAAAAAGTAGCGGGACAGCTGTAGGAGCCCACGCTTACCTTATACCCAACGCTAAAAGTGTGTCACAGCAATGGCACTTCTTCGGCAGTTTTGTTTGCCCTCGCTAAACTGCGCTTAAGGAGCACACACAAAAAAAACACTTCCTTCGAAAAAGCAGCTTTACGATTCGCGGGCTAAGGATATACTACTGGGATTTTCCTGAAACTATTAGGAGGGAGATTCTTAGAATACTTCCTCCTTGTATGCATTTAAAGGGCTTCCCTTTTTATGGTGTTTAATTGGGCAAGGCATATCAGCACGCCGTCATCTTTGCTCTCCCTCCTTTTCCGACTGACGAACACCCGCAAATACTGTTAAGAAACTAGCCGCACGTATGAAATCTGATATTTGTTGGGTGGTACGAAAAGAAAACCTAACGAATGCACACGGGACATGGAGGGAGATGGAAAGCTAATTCTCAGCCCACCGTGATGTTAATGCAGGCATTCCCAATCTGTGGACCTTCGCGCCTTTAGAAAATCAAAATTTCCGTTGTCCCCTCTAGTGAGTCACGAAACTCGCCCAACAATAAAATCGTGCAGAATCGAGAGTAAGGAAGATGCAATGCAAATGCTAATTTTCTTTACTTCTTCCACTTCAGACCAAGTATCAAACTAGATAAAAAATGTTCTCTTACGCACTTTTTTGGACTGTCACTGCAAGCTATATCGTAAGCTAAGGGCAACAAACGTGTGGTAGGCACGCAAAGTGCCACAGGATGGTATTAGCTCCGCACCATCAAATTATGTTCTCTTGTCATTCCGTTTTGTCGAGCTGAGCTTTTGGTTAAAGCAGTGCTTTTAAAGTGATGTTTTAAAATTTTTGCTTGCTTTTAACTTTTACATCATGCCTGTGCAATTCAGTAAAGAGAAATTGGTAAAAGTTGTGGAAGCACCTTTAAAATGCATTGAGGCAGAAACCGCAGCACCATCGCCATTATCATCCACTTCGATGCTATTGGACGTCGCCTCACATCCTTTATCTCGCTTAACAACGGATTTGTCTATCAAACTGTGGAGACATCAGAACGAATTATTCTAATTGCTATTTCTAGCTTTGAGTTCGCCTTTTACTGAGAAAAAATAATACAATACAGACTTACTAAAGAATGAGGCAGTAGCACAATAGCCTAAATACACCCAGGTCTTTGAAAGCAGGGTATGATTTGATTGTAAAACACAAGAGTCGAATGCTAACCTGTGAGATACTTTCAAAGAGTAATTCCTAGGGCATCTTGGCCTGACAACAACAAAATCAAAGTGAATTTGCATAATCATAATGAAGTGAGAACGTTTTTTGGAAGGAGTCAACTCAATCAATCATTTTTGAAGCAACTCTGCGATATGGCAATTTCCCTAGTCTAAGCGAGAATGGACAAGCTGTGGCCTAAAATGGGAAGGGCGAGTACTATTTTTATCGACGAAAACCTCCCAAATTACGACTCTCCGACTGTCGTCCTCACATGGTGATATGTTTGATCGCACAAAACTTAATTAGAGATTTGGCAACTGGCTCATAAACCAAGAGAAGGGCGTCGATCCCCTAAATGCAATCCACCTCATTCCTACCAATGCTTCGTCGTGGAAATCACAACTTTAGTCTCCCTCCTTGTAGCGGATATGTCACGTCGCTAAAAATGCTTAACGTATAAATATTTTGCACGAACTATTTCGTGTCCGAATTCCATTTACCGTGCCGCATTCCACTCCCCACACCATGCATCAAAGTCTTGTTGTGTGCTATTACGTCAATGCACAGCGGCCTTACTAATGTTGTGCCTCTCTGTTGGTGCTTCGGCTGCTGCAGCTGCCTCCAAAATGCCATTAAAACTTTCTGGACCTCTGGGGCGGAGCTTCACCCAAAGGTGTATGTAAAGTATAGGATATTTTAACCTTCTTCGCTGCCCATGTTCAAATAAAGCCCTTCTGCTTGTTAAACTGCCAAAATCTGTGTAACTTCCTGCCACGATCCACCTTGCTAAGACTCAACCAAGGCCAGAGTTGGTATCGAAGTTATGAAGGAACGCCAGTAGTAGCAAAATATGCCTGTTCCATAAACACTTATCAACAGTCATACAAAACTGGCTCCTTAAAACCTTACTAAATGTTCCGATCGAATGCCATCCTACTTTCATCAATGCCCTATGTTTCACACTTTTATAGTTAGTTAAACAGGTTCTATAATTTGCGCAGCAATCGTTTTTCAGCCGGGATTGAACGTCTCGGTATGCTTGATACAAACGTGATGCAAAGAAGATTGAAGGCTGCATTCTCTGCTGCAACAATAACCGAGGTACAGTGAAATGTTGTCGCATAATTCAATGCGCGCTGCTTCAGATTTAGGGTTTTCCAGACGCTTGTCAACATTGGAACAACTGGTCCCAGGCACATATTGGGCTCTCACCTCCTTCTTTCCTTCTATCTGCCGACACTCTCCTCCGTAGTGCCTTTTAACACTTACTAATGGAGCATTGAGTGAGACTTTGAAATTACAGCCTTATTACTTTTTATAGTTTAGGCTTTGATCTTATTCCAGGATGGAGGAGCCAAGGGCTTGAAGGCTTGGTCCGTGATTGCGAAAAGAGCGATAGGCTCTCCTACTAAATAGGTATGAGTTATTGGGTGAAGTTTAAAAAGTTCCATAACATACATACCTACCGACTAACAAGTTTCAATGAAGGCGAATTTATTCAAATTCACACATCCACGAGATCATGGTTTGACATGAAAGCTAAAATACTGGGAATTGGGGCATGTCATCAAGATGAACAAAACTGCCACCACCCTTGCAAATAAAGGTGGTGTTCGCTTACTCAAAATGATCCTTTCCATCAGCTTGTGCAATGTAAGACGTTGTAATGCAAGACCAGTTATTCAACTGAGGACCCCTCGGAGTTGAGAATTGTAGCCAAGTCCGAGAGGGTGTGTGCTAGGTGACGACCTAGCATCCCTTAAATAAGCCTCGATCCTAAAACAAAACATCTACGCAGTGGATACCTCTTTTACATATGAATTTATAGCCCTGAGGCAGTTATTCTAAAAATATCCTTCGCGGCTTTAATGACTGCGTTTTTACAATTTCCCATATCACAAAGTAGAATGTTAACAAGCGTCTTGAATACCACAGAAAATGGTGCCAGTTGTGTAAACTAATTGGAAACAGACTGCTCAAATCATCTTAATGCTTCTGGACAATTCGTTTTATCAGTATTTACAAATACCACAGTTTGAGTGGAATTTTGCGATAGTATTAATGCGTGATTGAGCTTCAAGAGCAGCGCAGACTATAAACACAAGAGTTTCATTGAACCTCAAAACGTAAAACAGATCTTTGCTTGGAGGTACGCTAATAGTTTGCAAAGTGTTGAACATAATTGCATAAGTGCTGTCACCTTTAATGCGATTGGAATGTGGAGGTGAATTATGCGAGTCTGGCGCTACATTGGAGCGACCTTCAAAGTCGCCCGATATCATAAATAACTGCATTCAAATTATCGGAAGCGTTGAATACTTAAAGTCGATACGCCCGTCTAACTGCTCTTCAGAAACCTGATACTGGGAGAACTTTGAATTTTGTAAAATACTGCAATTTAACAAATAAATTGTGACGTTTATCTCACTATTGGAATGTCTATCAAGGTAAATTCTAAATCGCGATCGTGTTCAGCTCCAAAGGATTCTTATTTGAAGTTTGAAGGTGCTATTATTCTTATGAAATGAACTAACCAAGATTCAGTGAGCTTGTCAGAGGTGGAGTGAAAATGCGGGAGATAGAAAAATGCTAGGAGGGACTTGAACCATTAGCATGGAACCATTGTTGACTTCGCTCCAATTATTAGCAGGAGTGGATTAAGTGTGGAAGTTATAATCTCGAATGCATTGATTTTTATGCGTTAGTGTGCATGATGTTAATGTTTCAAAGACTACTTCACATAATAATTAGTTTCGCCGTAAATTGGCTGACAATCATCGTCCAAGGTGTAGAAAGCTTAGAGGATCCAGTGCTTCCTTTCAAACCACAAGTAACGCTTTGAATAGCTGTTTTTAACGACTGAGCAATAGAAACTCGGAACGAATTATTAGAGCACCTGATGACTACGAAGTAACACCAGAACCCGTACCTCAATGCAATGGTCAATGCGGACAGCAAAACAAAAGACGGCAATGCAGTAGCTCTGTCGTGTATAATGCCACAAGGAATTGTGTAAGCTGAGTGAAGATGAAGATGCAGGCCAGAGTGTAATTCTCGCTTTTTGAGAACTCAATAAGGCAAAGTCGTGAATAAATCGCACAGATGCCATTCAAAACACATTCTTTGGTAAGAAGGAAAGGGTGAATGGTCGTTTCACTCTTCACTCCCTTTGATGATTTCACTAGGTGAAAAATGGTCACGACTATTGCATGATGGTAATTGTCTAAACTCTTTCGCGTCTAAAATAAGGAGATAAGACAGATGTCTTGAGACTAAAAAATCCTCTCGTAAATACTGCAGCTACGCATCGCCTCACTTTAACGGCTGAGCAAAATTAAAAAAAAAACATCTGTGTTTCAAAATCTGACCATGTTTTCACCAGATAAATAAAACAAATTATATTATGCAACATGGAGTCATTATTTTGGCTAATGACATGGATATAAAATGCCTGCCCATACAGAAATGGCTGCAACAGACACAAAAGTAGTAAAAATTTAGAAGTGATGGAGAGTGTGTTCGATGTACAAGAAACATGTGGAATTTTGGACGTCATACAAAGCGCAGTTCTACAAGGACGTGTTTGTTTGGCTGTCAGTCGTGGTGTGCTACCACAGAGATCACTGCTGCTGTTCCGGACGAGTTGGCTGTTGAGTGTCCAATTGCAGCTTCATTGCGAACTTCTGTGCGTTATCTTGCATTGCGGCTGCATAAAGATTAAAAGACTAATTACTTTGAGGCACCAGTTTATATTCAAATAATTAAGAGGCCTGCATAAGTTGGGCTTCTTAGGCATGGTCAGAGTTACTTAACATCAATATTTAAATGTCTAGACACCATATGTAACGTTTCCGAATTTCAATGCCATTAAACTGAAATTGTACAGGACCAGATCCTGCTTTAGCTGTGGCGTATTCCTGTGTAAAGGATTGCAAGGCATTCCTGAAGAAGGCGAACAACTTACCAGCTGTTGACCAGAATTGAACGGAGTGCACAAGTCGTGAATGTTCTTCAAGAAGACGGAAAAACTCTTTTTCCCTCCCAGCGGCTTCAACGCGAGTGAACTCGAAAGCGAATTCAGTGTCGCGTCGTCGGTTAATGCGATCAGCTATTGACTGACGACGCACCCGCATTTCATGATCATTGGAGGCTACATGTGGAGCAAAGCACCAATGATTAGGACTCATTAATAATAAAAAAATTAACAACCTGTTATATGACATAACGAGCATAAAAAGGGTTTAACAGTGAACTCAAGTTGAGGACAAAAGTGATGGATACTAACTCAGAACTCACCACCATGAGAGCCAAGCCGCGAGTCTGCAGAAGCTTCTAATACATCATCAACTTCGTCAATTTCAACCATATCATGTTCACCGTTTTCATTCAACAGCTCAATGCTTACAACGGATTGGCTCCTTTGATTTTGTGATGGAAGGGGATTCTCAGATATAGAACCAAAAGAAACAGTTCGACTCAGCTCAGGAATAGTAGCAGCCATGATTCTCCGTCTTCCTACTCTGTGTGGTGCCTACGCAGTCTCCTTGCTCCACCCTGCCTTTTATAACCGCGTGGATTGTCTTCATCACAGCCACCATTCAGGAGGCGACCTTGAACGTTGCCTTTCTTTGATTGGCTTCGGACATTTCAGACACTAGCCGCGTGTGCATCACTGCGAAAATGGGGTAAGCTGGTGGTGTTAGACCATTTTGTGGTAATGTTCTCCCGCTTGTGTAAAGTCGATGTATCAACAGCATATACGTTCTTTTACCAAAACAGCTGCTTGCAATGTGTTTGTAAATAATGTTATCTACCGAATTGTGTGATATGAGTGTTTCAAGTTAAAGAATGCACAGTAGAAGACAGGTTTCTTTCACTTAGTGTCTGCATGAAAACAATAGGAAGCTGGAAAGTAATGATGGGGTATCTTAAAATGTTGGGCCTCCATACTGGGTGTTTCGCATTTCCTACAACAGTATCGATGAGCAATTTCGAGAGTTCGGTAACCTAACCACTTACTGATTGCCAATGTTGATAAAGGACTTCCCGGTAATTCTATGCACTTTTACCTGAATATTCTAAGAGTGTAAATTGCTTGTCAAACGCAAATTTTATTCCAAAGAGAGGTAAAAAACACTTTTTAGGGATCTGTCAAAGTAGTTTTAGACCAATTTTGACTAATGGGGTGAAGGTGTTTCAACAAGTAGATTCTAGATTAGATGCGGTGTACTGATCGGATCAGCATACGTGTTGAGGTGGAATTTATATGCAGATGGAACACTTCTAAGCTGAGCTTTAAATGATCATTCACATTTAACAAGTAGCAGATTTTGTTATTCATATGCCTAAATGACAGTTAGGATGTGGCTGTTTAAAATTAGCTTTTGAGCTGCATTTGTGACAAACTGTTTAGAAGGTATCTAAGCATTAGTCGGGAGTGAGAGAAATCGATTTTAGGGCGCATGTAACTACCATCTCCTTTTTTCTAAGGGTGATTTGTGTCTTGAGGAGATTCCGCTTCCTAAGATTGCTTATCTCTCACGTTAATACCGGAAGGGGCAACTTCAACTGTTGCATTACGAAATACCGGTTTTAGCTCAAAATGCATCCACTCAGGACCTTCAGACCTTAAAGCCAATTCGCATAATTACGAACCTAAAACAAGGGCATCGCTTGCTTTTGCTGTAAAGCAAAAAGCAATGTTTTTGTAATTATTATATCCACACAAAGCACTAAGCTTTTAAACCGCTACTTATCTCGCCCTTATAGAAATTCATAAAGAAAGTAGCACTATTCCTGATTATTCATTTGGACTTTTTAGAAGGTTTTATACGAAATTCTCGAATTTGAACACGATGATGCTGCTAAGAAGTAAAGTTAGATTTTGGGCGGTCAAATCAGTCATATTTTCTGATGTTACATAGCGCTAACATTACAATTGGGCTCTGCCTTTAGTTCCTCACAACGGGAAGTTTTAGTTCTTATGGCGGGCAGCAAAAAATTTGAGGTGTCAGCTGTGTTCCGAGTTAAATTACCTGCGTTTCTACCTAGAGAGCCTCACTTCCAAATCGGGAGACTACCTTTTGTTTTCTCCCCATACAAGTTGCCAAAATGGCAAGCTGGCTTCAAATCAGCCAGACTTTTATCACACTACTGTGATATCTGTAGCCACCTATTTTGGTTTATAGACTTTTTTAAAATGGTGGTTAGCAAAGAGGTGTCTTCATTCTCAGTTGATGAAGATTAATTGAGACGGAACACTTATGCACAGGTTGTTGCTACAAAAGAGATGAAAGAGTCATTTGTCTCAGACTAGGGTATGAAAGCATGAACTAATAGCTCCGTTTCATGCTTAAGTGGCGTGATTGAATGGCAAAGCCATGCAGCGCCTTTCATGTTGACTGCGATCTTGAAACACCATCGAGGTGTCTGAATAGCGACAATTTATCGGAATTTTTGCCCCCTTCAGATGAATGCCATGACGACACGTCAAGTTGTGCATTGGTTAAGGGGGAATCGTCGCCTCACACGGAGAAGAATTTCTGTTCCACTTAGACTGAAGTGGTAGTTGAAGTAGGAATGGACCCTCAGCAAATGCGGTATGCCACAATTGAACTGCGCCTACTTGAACGGGTTTTTTGCGAGGTTGAGAGGCCATGCCACGAAACTGGATTAAAGGCATTTTGTTGTGGTCGCTTCAGAAGTTAAGTCGAAGTGGTTGCAAATAAGGCCACTGGCGCACAGGGCAATGGCTTCCCAGAAATGCAGATAGCGTAAGGTAATCGTAATTAGAGGGTCAAATAAAAAGAAGACCTTTGAAATGTAGCGAGCGAATTGCGTCCTCTACCCTGTGGACCATATCTAATGCGAACGCATTTTTTAAGACTTTAGAAAAGATAGCTCAAATGAATTTGTGCTGCAATGCAAGAAAGTTGTTGCATTTCGATGTTTCCCTTTATAAGGAGGTTTCAAATCCTTCGCCCCTTGCTAATACGACAATTGTAGCATCACTTATCAACTTATTTCCCTTATGATTTATCGTTTCTTCAACCAATCATGCATAAAATCATAAAAAAGTTAATTATTTTACTTCGCTCTAAACTGCACATTTTTGTCTTAGACCGGTTAGTTGGTCCGCAGTATTAAAGAGGCAAGAGGTTAGTTCGGTTAAGAAGCATAAGGTTAAATGGCTTTGTTCTAGTCCCTATTCCGATTGCTGAATGCGTCCATCTTCTCTACCGCTCAATGAGGTGTGCGCCACGAGCCTCAGCGACATTCCATCCGGTCATGTGATAGTCGTATGCAGCCACTGGTGTCGGTTGTGGTAATAATTGCAAAGCATCGGAGGCTCGTCCAGTTGGCACCAGTGATGCTGACTTCTGGATCGCACGAATGGCAATTTACACCGCGATAAATACGGTAAGTTCTAGAAAGCATAATTTTTGTTGATCAAAGACAGGTAAATAATCTGGAGGTCTGTAGCTAGTTAATAATTAGTCACAAGCCTGTGTAATTAGGAACTATCGCAAAATAATGCATAATGATGGAAAATTTAGCAGGTTGAGCTGCTAACGGTACATACAACTTAGTGTTACGATTACGAGTTGATCTGGTTTTTTTTGGACAAGTCACTTTCACTTTTCATAGAGAGCCACCCACAAAATCACGCAGACTGGTCCGGTCTCCAAAATATGCTAGTAGTTTTGTTGTCTATTTTAGCGTCGGCAGTGTCTAGTCTGACTTAGTAATAGCTCCTTCCGTCCCTAGAACTTTTCGGAGCATTACATCAAAATCGTGCTTGGACCCGACTTAGTCTTTAGAACAAACAGTGTGGACGGTTTAAGCATTGCCTCGAATTCGCATTGACTTTGGTGGTAAGAATTGGGAGTAAGCACGTAGCCTCCTGCTAGAAGTCTACTGAGCCCCCGACTCACATTTTAGCTAAGCTAATATGGCAACCGATGTCGTTGAGTCCGACCGAGGCGCCAAAGAAATAACAGCCACTGGATTTAGTCCCAATCTAAAGCAATAAATAGGACTATTTTATTATCCCGTAATTATGTTTATTTATGGTTTACCTATATGACAAATCATATTCCACCTCCTGTTGAGAGCCTCCATATAAATGCGGAAACAGAAAGTGGAGATCGAAGTCGCACTGTTTGAAATTAATTGGATTTCCAAAGAAAATGGCAATTGCCATTTTCTTTGAGCAGTAGAAGCCTCGCTGTTCAAAGGGGCGTAGAATTTTACTGATTTAAGTGTGTGTAGAAGGAAGTCTGTGTCACACACGGAATGCCCAGCTTTCGTAAATTATTTCTTCCATCGCGATTGTGTTACGTTGTTGACTAAAAAGCTGTGGGTTGCCTTAGGGACAAGAGGAAATGATGTTATAATTGCGCAAGAGAAAATCTACCTGGATGCTGTGGTTGAGTCCTCTCCGCGGATTGAGGGGATCAACTCAAAACCACAATGTTAAATTGTAGAGTTTTTGACTCGTTAAGTACAATTTCGCGTTTGCTTTTCACTAATTAAACCTCTTTCTGGCCGAGGCGCAAAATAGGCCTGTGGGGAATTTTATACGGTACAGTTGATGCATCCAATATCTGGAGCGGAGGAAGTCAGTGGCGTATATTTAAGTCAGTAGTCTGTTGTGTCCAAACAGACAACTAGGTCAGAGGTTAATGAGAGAACTACTTCAAATGCAAACTGTATATCGGCACACCAGCGGGGTTAACAAGCTGACCCCAACCATTCGCATGAGCGTCTCTTTGAGGGGTAGCACTGCAATTGCATGGATCAGACGACCTGTCTCCACTGACATGGAGATCGTAAAGATTATTTTTACCAAATATGAAATCGTTTTAAACCTGCTTTTTAACCTCCCCAAAAAACTTTTGCGACTTTGGTGTAGCCAAATATCAAATAACACTTCAGCACAGATTTGCAGTTTTGCAGATTAAACTTTGCGACCTTCTTTTTCACCTAAATCATTTATGTGGAAGTAAATGCTGTTAAATCATCTACTATTTCAGCAAAGTATAAAATGTGATTCCAAGATATTCAGGATAGGTTAAGTTAAGAATTATTATTATTAAAATCAGGAGGTGGAGTCGAAGACACTCCAAGTTAAAAAGAATCCAATCCTTTTCCAATGCATTCTGCCCGTTTCATGCTGAATGAGCGATGTACCGATGTCCTCTTATGGGCCTCCAGGTGGAAGGTTTGGCCGTGTTTTCAACACTCTTTCGTATGGAATCACACCGCATTATGATTGGTTGAGTTCGCGACAATAGGAGTGATCTTGAGCTTCCATTGTTCTAAAACAACTTTGTTTTTGATGTAAGATCTGGTGATGCATCCGAATAATTGGGCAAATGAGCTGACGTGATCGAGTTTCCCTTAAGACTTCGATGACGAATGCCTCAACAATTTTATGCTAGGAGGGTGCATATTGGAATGAAGCAAATGCCTGCCTGTCATTTAATAATACAACTAGTC